TATTCACATTCTGGTTCTATGACTTACTGGATGTGTCACTTTGGAGAAGTTATTTAAATAATCGGAGTCTCTGTTCCTTGTCAATACGTGAGGTTAATAGATCTACTATTTGGGACTATTATGAGGCTTAAAGGTGATATGTGTAAAGCCCAAAGCCTTTCACAGAGTAGGTGCTTAATAAATGGGAATTAAAATTATAAGGGATATACTGTCAAAGTTTGCCTGCTTTGAGATTTTTTAAGAGGTTGATGGTTCATCCTGAAGTCCCCATAGTTTGATTCTTTACTATACAGCTTCCTTTGATGTTTACTGTCACTTAAATTGGGTTTTAGTGAACTTAGTTACAAGCATTTGATAAGGGCCCATCTGAGTGTTCAACATTCAACAAATATTTTTTGTTCCAGGTACAGTTCTGATGTTAGGAATATAGCAGTGAACAAAACAGACAAAAATCCATATCAATATGGGATTAATAATCTAGTGAAGAGATGTAGACAAGTTATAAGACTAAATAGATATATTACACATTAGAATGTTGTAACTGCTATAACAAAAAAGCAAGACAAGGTGACTGGGAATGTAGGGGACAGGGGAGGTGAAATTTAAATGGGATGGTCAGAGCCTCATGGAGAAGGTGACATATGAGTCAAGACTTGAAGGAGGTGAAGGAATGGGACATGGAAGTATCTAGGAAAAGGATGTGCCAAGTCACAAGGAACAGCCAATTCAGTGGATCACGCGCACTTAACAGCTATGCCACGGGGCCGGCCCCAAGGAACAGCCAATTCAAAAGCCCAGAGGCAAGAGCATACTTGGTATATCTAAAGAATAGCAAGGCTACTTGTCTGTGGAGAGGAATGAATGTGGGCAATAGGTGATGCCATCAGAGGTTTAGTGGGCTCCAGATTACTTGTAATAACTTTGGCTTCTGTTTGACAGAAATAGCGCCCTTCGAGGGTTTGGGCAGAGTAACCTGATCTGATTTACATTTTAACAGGATGGCTCTGGCTGCTGTGTTGAGAATAATTGGGGGTTAAGAATGGGAATAGGGGGCCTAGCCCAATAGAGGGCAGCTTGGTCAGGGTGATAGCAGTGGAAGTGGTGAGAAGAGGTCAGAGTCTGGGTATATTTGGAAGACAGCCAATTTGCTGACAGTCTGGATGTGGGGTGTAAGAACAGAATTGTCAAGGATGGCTTGTAGGTTTTTGGCCTGAGCAACTGGAAGGACAAAGTTACTATTAACTGAGGTGGGGAAGATATAGTTGAAGCAGGCTTGGACATGTTAAATTCAATAAATATTTTAGACATCTGAGAGATGCCAAGGAGGCAGTTGGAGATATGAGTCTGGAGTTTAAGAGAGAGTTCTGGGCTACAGATGTAAAATTGGGAGTCACTTTCATAAAGATCATATTTTAAAGCCAGCAGACTAGATAAGATCACCAAAGAAGTAAGTACAGACTGGAAAAAGAAGCCATCTAAGCAAAGGAGAGCCCTGGGCACTCTTAACATTAGGAGAGGACCAAGAAGGAACTGCCAGTAAGGCAGATGAAAACCAAAGAGTATGTTGTGTCCTTGAGGCCTAGTAAAGAAATTATTTCAGTAGAGGAAGTAATCAGCATGTCAAATGCTATTTGATAGGGATAGTAAGATGACTGAGAATGGACCATTCCTTTTGCAAGGTGAAGGTCACTGATGATCTTGACACAAGCAGTTCAGGGGACTGGTGTGGGCCTAGTGACTTTAATAAAGAATGGGAGGAGGAGAACTAGAGTACTTTCCTCTTTCAAGCTTTACTATAAAAGGAAGCAGAGAACTGAGGCATAGCTAGAACAGTCAAGAGAAGGTTTCTTTTGCTTAAAAAATGGAAGAAGTAAGAGCATGTTTGTATGCTGAATGGTTTGCCCCAGGTGAAAAGGAAAATGTGATAATGAGAGGGGATGCCATCTAGCACTAAGTGGAAACAACCCATTTAGAAACACAGATGGTATCTAAAACAGTCCTTTACAGTAAATCCCACTATCTTCAGATGAATACGTTTATATCCATGAGGAAGAAACACAACACATTCAGTCTTCCTGCTAAGAATTAAGAACAGTTAATGCTACTATCTCTGAAGAGAATGAGGCAAGAAGGAAAAAAAATTCTCTATAGATAAGAAACAAGTTTAAGTGACTTATTAAAGATTATGCACTAAGCTTTTTGAAAACAACAATAAATTCTGGAAAACAAGTTATTTGGTTTAGGTACAAAAATCCTGACTATTTTGAATGTCTGACAACTTCCCAAAAGAATATTTTCAGCATTGCCTAAATCATATCCTTATTTTCGTACATGTTTGAAACTTAGGTCTAGTGTCACATCAATTTCTATATTTTTCCCTTAAAATATATAGGTCTCCATCAATTTTCTCAATCTTTTTTAAAGTTTTTGAAAAACTTTATCTCACTTTTCCTTTTTTCCTCAACCCTTCCCCACCACATGAGACTCACTGGCCCATATACCATAAATATTAGGATGCTCAGATGCTGAGAGTGCCGCACTCACATCTTTAAGTTAAATCAACTTTCAGAATATGAGAATCCCAAGAGTCCCAAAAGCATTACTGTTTTAGGCTCAGGAAGAAAATTATTAGTGGTGATATTTCAAGAGGAAGTTTAGTTTGAAAACTAGGCTTAATTTTATTATGCAACTTAGTGTAAGATATTCATTTTATCATTTTTCCAAGTGCATGCAATTATCTGGAATATACAATCAGTTTATTGTAAAGAATACTGATCATATGTATATATTTTTAATCAGAATCATACTGTATATGACAGTAAAGGTCACAGATGATAAATTTAAGAATTTAAAAAGATTTATTTGAGTTTTGAGGAACTATCAGTTTTCTGTATCTCAAGGTAAGTGTAACTCTTCTTTCTTAAAATTCAAACTATGGATAGAATCTGAGTGTTAAAGTTTACATACTAGATCATTCAATTTATTGGTCTAAGACGTGGTGGCTCTAAAATTTCAGTGGGCCAAAGAATCACCTGAGTGCATTTAAAATGCAGATTTCTGGAGCCCACTCCCACATATTCCAATAAAGTGAGACTGAAATAGCACCCAGGAATCTACATTTTTTCAAGTGCCCTCATGGAGAAGGTAACATAGTAGTAAGGACTGGAAGGAGGTGAGGGATTGAGACGAGGTGCTTGAGAAAATACTGTTCAAAGGGTTTTCCCTGTGCAAGCAAGAGATATTCTGATTTCAAGCCCAAGACTCGTTTAAACTATTTGTCATATGATGAAATAACAGATGCAGAGAACCTAGAGTGTTGGTCCACAAATCCTTGGTTCTCCAAGCTTCCAGTTCTGGAGTCAGAAAAGCAGGACAATCCTTGCTTGGGCTTGTATACAAACCCTGCAAGGCTGCAGAAAGGACCTGCTGCCACCCTCAGCCGGTGCAAAAATATCCACTTCATCTTTTGGTGGAGTGCTTCTTTCTGCTTATCAACCCAAACACTTCCAGAAGACGTGTGGTCTCCTATGTAATCTGTACTTCTCCAGAGGACTGGAGATCACAGATGTAGCAATTGCCGAGCTCTTTCCCACCCTGACTTCATCCCTAATGTAACATTACATTAAATATCATTAGTAAATATTATTAAAGATCCTATCTCCCCTGTCAATTTACAGTACTACCTAGAAAGATTATGAAATGAGCCAGGACAACATAGAAAAGAGTGGCAAACTTTCTTTTTTTATTGGAGAGATGTTTTCTAATGCTAGATGCTGTGAAAGTAGCAGTGGTGCCTTTAACTGCTTCTGAAGACAACTGTATTTTATTTCCTTTGTGATTGATATTTTTCTTTAAAAAAATGAAAGGCAGGGAGGCCAGCCCCATGGCCAAGTGGTTCAAGTTACGTGAGCTTCATTTCGGCGGCCTGGGTTTGCAGGTTTTGATTCTGGGCGTGGACCTACACCACTCATCAGCCATGCTGTGGCGGCATCCCACATACAAAATAGAGGAAGATTGGCACAGATGTTAGCCCAGGGCTAATCTTCCTCAAGCAAAAAAAAAAAAAAGAGGAAGATTGCCACCAGACGTTAGCTCAGGGCAAATCTTCCTCACCAAAAAAAAGAAAAGAAAAGGCAGGGAGGTAAAGTGACAACCCTGAAGCTCTCTGTCAAATTATGAGTAGAAATTATTTTCTGTAGCTCTCTATCTATCAGAGCACTACCAGTAACGTTGGCATCAACCATTTACTGAGCACCTACTATGTTCTATTCTAGAGGTGGGAAGGAATAAAAGATCTAGCATAGTGCCTGCCCTTGAGGGGACATACATTCTTGTTGGGAAGACAAGACAAATACATCAAAAGATATTCAAGGTACACCACAAGAGGTCACAGAAGGATAAGGGAACTTAAACTGGGTCTTGAAGATTAGCAGAGAGGAAGGCTAGAGAAAAGGCATGAAATAAGAGTGAGCCTGAGCAAGGTGCGTAGCTTGCCAGGAAACAATAAAAGCCCAGTTGAGTTGAGGTATGTTAGTTCGCCAGGACTGTGAAGTGGGAGATGGTAGCCAGAGAGAAAACTTGGAGCCATACTGAAGAGAGAGAGCAAGCCTTGAATGTCAAGTCAAGGAGTTTGGAATTTCACTATAGACAAGAACAGTCAAAGAGTTTCACACAAAGCAGTATTTGGGAATATTAATGTGTTAGAGATGTGTAGGATTGATGGGGCAGAGAGAACTTGGGGGCAGTTAGAAAGCTACCAGAAAAATCCAGGTATCAGGTGATGGAGACCCAGAGAGTAGCAGTATTAATTATTACTAGTTTTATAGGCTAATTTCATAAAATATAACTAAATTGAGTTGTGCTACAGATGTAGTGTCAAGATTTTTCAAAGGATGTCATCAAAATGAAAATTTGGGAGGTGTGTGATATTTATGAAACCTTGCCAAGTAATTGATCATTTTTATGATAAACAATATGAAAGGAAAAGAAATTTACTGGTTTTTTTTTTACATTTTATTCAAGAGGCTGTGACTTCTATTTCACTTTCCATGTTCAGTCAGTTTGGCTTTGTGCTTTCAAGCACTGCCCCCAAAACTTTTGGCCTCATAATAGAGAGAAATCTAATTTCAAAGGAGTTCATTAATTTCAGGAAAATGAAAAGCTTGGCTTAAAATTAAATATTGGAAACTCCATAAACTTGGCAGTGATCCTTGAAGTGTTCCGGACACCTATTGTTCAAAATGCTAATAGATGAGTTCCTAATTAGTCATCAGACAAGTAGAAGAAAACTTGTAACACTTAGAAGTTAAACTTCCCCTATTTTATTAAACACTGCATTACTAGAGGAACAGCTTCTGAACAAGTCAGTTTGAGTACCAAGATTTTGAATAAACAGTAACCAAATGCCCCTAATATATTATAGATAACTGCCTGGGAATAGAGACAAATTGTTTAAACTTAATTTTTTTGTATTATGATTCTGATGTTTGGGGCATGTCAAGGATGCGGACCATCATAGACATATCCATGTGCAAATAGAGCACATTTTATTACCCCATACCCAGGCAAGCCTCATTGCAATGATTCCTCTGTCTGAGCTGTAAGAACTTTGTTTCTTTACAGTTTACTTCTGGAAAACAAAATAAGGTACTGCCAGGCCTAAGTTTTCATTCTGACCTGTTCTTAAGTGTTCATTCTGGTGTTTGTAGCAACCACTGTGAGCCATTAAAGCATTGATGTTGTTGCCACCTTCTTTCCAGACTGAAGAAAGTCTCTTTAGGAGAATGTGGCTAAATCAGTGCTTTTTTCCCCAGCCCATCTGATCATGAGTGTGTGTTGACACTCAGGATCACTAATGGATCTTTGAATCCTGAGTGCTCAATAGAACACAGACTCTGGACTGTTCCCATCTGCAGCACAACCCCCATGAGGGAAAATGTTTCTTTGGCCTCCCAGTTTCTAGAGAAATCATTGTTCCCTGTACTGATTTTCATAACCATAGAACAAAAGAAATACTACTCTTAAGATTCTCTTCCTATTTGGAGATCAGTGTGTCTTGGAACCTTCTGTATCTTGGTTTAAGCACAAATTCTCCAAAATTCAGATTTGCACCATATAAAATACAATTCTGTACATCGATCCTTCGCCTTACGGGATGTTAAGTATTGCCTTGGGGGGTTTTGGAAGACATATGGCAAGACAGAACTGGCCCCTAAAATAGTGTATATTAGTCTAAAAGCACTGGGATGAATTAATAAGCTAAATGCCTAGGAAGCATAAAATTCACATCCATGTTAAATATGAACATGCTCAATATTATACTGGGGGAATGACTTCAAGGTGGAAGTTTTTGTTCTTACAGACATTTATTTTCCTCCAAATTTATCGTGTTTTTCTGTAATGCTGTAAAAAGTCTTCATTTCCCCTTTCCCAAGTGTTGAGGTTCAAAAAGCCAGCTCTCAACCATAGACTAATCTTCATCTCTTCAATGTCTTGTATGTTGATTTAGTCTCATATGTAAGTATTTATATTAGTTTTCCTCAGGGATTTATACATCAGTATATATATATATATTCCTACACAGATATATACAAGCTTTTTATCCTCATCTTACCACTTGACAATACAACTTTAAGTATGTTTTACACAGCTGTTCCTTGGTCAAGGTCATTTGCAAGAGCAAGTCGGTTTCTGAAGAAATCTTGTTTGGTGGGTGAAGGATCCATTGAGGGATTCTCATTAGTTTTTTCCCTGTATTCTGATCCACTGGACCTAAAATCTCAGCACACAGATAAAGTACAGGTTGATTTGGTTTTAATTGTTTTCAAATATTTTATCTATCCAAATTGTTTTGCATTTGTAAAACAGTTGCCTCTTAGATCTGGAATAATTTTTACTTCCCCTGAATTTCATGACTTAGCACATGTGTAACTAAGATTTGCAGCGATCATAAAGAGAATATCTTTCTAATGCTTTATGGGGACAATTTTGACAATTGTGTATGTCAGTGTAAGGCATTGTGTAATAACATTGCAAAAGGGGAATAAAGCTCAGAAAATTCAAGAAATCCTATTTTTGATTCAACCAAGTAACTACTTCACAAATTACCAAAGCCTTGAAATTAAAATGAATGGAATTCACTGTTCTCAACCACGGTTATCAAGGGCCTTTACCGAATTTGGGCATTACATTACAAACTCTTGCTTTTGCTTGTTTTCATTTTTAAATGAAAGATTTATTGAAGCCAACCACACATGTATGCCACATTTGGTAGAATGCAGATATTAGTACAGTAATCAGATTGAGGAGATTCTATAATCTCAATCACCACAAAGGAGACCAAGCCCAATCAATAGTCAACAACTCAAATCAGTCCAATTGAGTCCCCAGTCGAGGGTGCATTCTTCCTTTATCTTGGTTAAGCCAGTTGGGTAATCCATTCCAGCTCTGCACCTTCTCCAGTTTGTTCATGTCAGAAGTCCCTGGAGGGAGGAGGCTTTCTGGAAATAACCTCTGATAAGCTATGCTGGGGCCCTTTGGCTAGCTTAAACTCTAAACTAGAATGGGTAAAACTAGCCCAATGACTAAGAACCAATATCAAAAGACCTCATGCAGGATGTATGCAAGTGATGTTAGACATGAAATTCTTTGTCCAAAGCTCCTACACAACTGAACAAGTTCTCTATATGCTGAGGCAGAGTCAGCCATGCTTCCACTATCCACAAAAAGAAGGATAAGTTCTTCCACTATCATTGGTAATTATTTTTAATTAGATAATGATGACTCTATCATTTAATGAATTAATTGGGCAGAATTCAAACATCCCTTTACATTATTCAAGGAAAGAAGTTGGATCCACACAAAGACTAAAATCGTGATGTCTGGAAACCTGATGACTGACAAGATTTTTTTACTTTTCACTCTGATATTTGGTATCACAGATGAAGCCATAGCTGCCCACCATGCTTTCTACTTCTGGTCAGTAAGGAGCACTTTTCCACTATATCCTAGTGCATAGAGGAAAAACTTCTCTCTCTCAACCCCAGTACATCTGGGTACTCATCAAATACCATGGTATCTGGGTGGGATGAAAGCCCTCTTGCTTTTCAGAAGCCCCCTTAGAACTCTCCCTTGAAACAGCCTCCACAATACCCCACCCTAAAACTCCAGGCCTTCTCTCAACTCTCAGAACTCCCACCTACCTCCAGTTCAGATCATCCCTGATTAGTACAATTGTTCCCAAAATTGTAGGAAGATATATTTTTGACCATTTCATTCTTTCCTCATATCTTCTGTTATCCAGAAGACCAGGAATGCCTATAATTTCGGGGGCCGGAAGTTGGAAAAGATTTGAATCTGGCTGTTGTTTCTTCTGAATTGTTCCCCCACATGACAGTTTCTCAACAGAAAGTCATTAATCAAAACTTAAAATCTTTACCTCACATTTCCCCTCTTAGCTACATCTGATCTCTCCAAAACCCAACATGTCATACTTTGATGGTTCCAACATGCAACTGTTTCGTGTTTACCTGGAAATGGGAAAGCTTTGATGTCACCACCAGCCCCAAGGACCACAGAAATCTTCACCAGTTGAGTTCCCATTTCTGAAACAAATGCCAAAATCGCCCTGTCTAGTTTTCAAAGTCCACAAACTCAGCTTAGTTTTTTCTTTTTTAACTGCTCTTCTCACAAACCACCTTCTCTGTGTCTTCAGGTGTGTGAATTTCTCTGTTTCTTGATATATATTAATTAACTAATGGCTAACTTGCTAATCCTTTTCAAAATCCAGCATTCTACTGTAGCCATGACTAAAAGCTCATTTTCATCCTTTTAAAGATAATTTTAATGGACCATTTTATAATGCTTACATGGTATAAGCCACCTCAACACTTGGACTCTTCCAAAGGTGTGGCTGTTAGGCTCTAAAGTAATGTATACCTAATTTACGGGGAAATAACCTGCAGAATCTAGAAGAAAGGGCCAGCGTATTTGCTTTTATTCCCTTTCTCTATAAAACAGGAATGGCTTTTGAGCTCCTGGGGCCATTTTGGCTGACTGCAGGGCAGATCTGAACAGATATAAAGGGACAGGCAGGCAAACACTTGCTGGGAAGGGCACAATGGCTGTCAATACATTCTGACACATAGCCATCCAAGTGTTTGATGGAAAGAGAACAGACCTGTTGCTTACTTTCCTTCCATTCAATTGACAGAGACAAAGAAAATAACAAGTTGGGTAGGTCATACAAGTATAGATTTGCTACAAATAAGCCTTGAAAGTTTGTTTGGAGCTGGGGAAGGGAAGAGGGGTAGAATCCAAGGCCGCAGGACTCTCTGACTTAAGAAGTCTTGGTTTTCTGATTGGAAAGACTGTCCACCTTGAAGGCTTTAGGAGACATGCACATGGAGAAGTAAGGGAGCAGGGGAACACCCATCCTGTCGGCCAAATCAGTCGGCTCTGGTAATCAACAAGGTGACAAATGAGCATTCATTTAATATATATTTGCTGAGTGTTTACTATGTTCTAGATACTAAACTTTGCAACTAGGTTACCCTTACATTTGGACTGTAAGCTCCTAATAGGCTGGAACTAGTGCTTTGACTTCTTTTGTGCTAGACAGAACCTAGTACACTGAAGATCCTTAACTGAGTGACTGATTTCAAATGACCTACTGAGAAACATTTGTAATCAGGTTTAAGTAATCTAAAATGTTAGCCCTTCAAACCATCTCCTTCAATTTTAAAGTTATATAGGGAAATGAAATGGGAAATGAGAGAGAACCCCAAAGTAGGTAAGAATGGGAGAAGGACTTGAGATAGGCTTTAAGGAGGTAAAAAAGAAGGTGAAGGTAAAATTATCAATTGATTCTTTAGTAGTCCTGTTTTCTATTACATGGTCTTTTCCACAGCCAAGGCTGGGCATATGCAAAAACAGCTGATAGGACACCAAAAGAAGAAGATTTACTGATATTCAATTATATGGGGCCCTGTAGAATACTCTCTCTGTGTGTGATTAAGAAAATAGAGAGATTCTGAAGTGACTTGTAGAGGGAGGGTGACGACTGGAAAGGAGACATTCTGAGGCATGTAAGTTATAAAGTGCTAAAGAGGAAGAGGACAGGTGAGGAAGTAGAATTAATCACTTGCAAGCCATATTCTTTAACTTGCACTCCCCCCAAATTTGAGAATAAAGAGACAGCATCTACATTCCCTATCCCTAAACTGTCTTACATAATCTTCTTCTCCCCTGCCACACCCCCAACCAAGAATACTAAGTGCAAGATTTATACATAAAGATGAGTAGCATTTGCCACAGACTTCAGGATAGTCTAGATTTAAGTCTGACAGCCTCCATATCCCTTCTAGAATGGGATAGTTTGCCTTCCATCCTGCTCAAAGGCAGGGGGATAAGGATTCAATCCAGCATCAGCGTATCACATTAGGTCTGTTCCTGGCTTCTAAGAATCCTGGTTTAAAATTTTTAAAGCCACTTAACATTTTCAAACTTTAAGATATGTAGTCTTTATTCTGATCAATTCTGGGCAGCTTTCAGGGACATATGACCTGGTATCTACCCAGGACAAATGTGCCTGAGATAGAAACAATCAGAGTGTCATCCTTTTCCCCAAATATCTTGGGCATTTTTCAGAATTTTTTTATGATGTCAACTTGACTCTCCCTTTTGAATCCTTGTGGATATAAGCATTCGGCCCTCCCAGCCTCAGAGGGAAGAGAACCCTTTCTCAGGTTTTCTGCTGCATCTGGCTCCATGCCTAGCTTCATCCCGAAGCAGCATTCTGGGTGTGTGGGGCCACCAGCCAAACAAGCCCCTATGGATACAAAAAGTGTGTCAGTGTAGACAGGAATGAGCCTTCAGAGGGCTGTGGGGGAGGCAGGCAGCAAGCCCCAGATGTGATACAGGCAGCTTTTTTGGCACTGGTCCATTTTGGACCTTTGAGGCCCGGCTCTGGATGGTTCTAGTACCCAAGATTAACCACTTCTTCAAGTCACAGGGCTTGCTGCCAGCCTGACCTCCCGACACATGGGAGAATGGGCTGAATGTCTCTCTCTGGTTCCTCCCTGTCCTGCCCACACGCCTGACTTCACAGTGCAAGTTCCTACATAACGACTGGAACTATGTCATTCACAATTCCTATACAAGTGTCTCACTCAGTACATGCATATAAGAAAGAATGCTTAATTAGAAGAATGGTGTGTTCTCATCTAAGTTAAGAGCTATTGACCTTTCTGTGCTATGCTGGGGCCTCCCTGCCCTTCCTCTCTACCTTAGCATAATGGACCAAACTTTCCATGGTTCTTGGATTGAAATACTCAGGAGAAGCTACTCAAGCTGCTTCTTTATCCCATGCAAAGTCCCCAAAGTGCCCACCATGGCACCCTGGACACAAGGCAATAAGCAAGCATCACCTGATGGTGCTCACAGCCCTACACTAGATGTAAAAAGCCAGGAAAGCCTGCCAGATGGAGCAGCCATCTGTGTGGTGCCACCTTTACTTCCATTCAGATAACACTTGAGATTTTAAATACACAGGCAGTGCCAGAATTGGTGGCAGCAATATGATTGATGCAGGCAAGACTGATCTATGAGAAAGGATAAGAGGATTAAAGGGATCCATTTGGCCCTCTAAGAAGGATACCAAAAAGCTGCAAGAGGACTGAAAGCAATTAACCAACATGAATTTGGAGAGCCCACAGCAAATCCTCAGCATCGTACCAAGGGCTGTGGGGAGTTACAGAAAGATAAAATCTGGTCTTCTACTTGGTGAGTCTTTAGAATTGTAAGCCCCAAGGCCACATTAATTTCTTGTTTCAGGTGTTAAAAGATGTGATTACTCAGATTGATCTACAACAAATTCAAACTACAGATAAAGCAAATCTCAGCACTAGAAAGCGCTCAGGTGATTATCTTGAGTAATCTCCTATCCAGTGGGAGAATCCCTTTCATAGCATCCCTGACCAGGTCATCTAGCTTCTACTCAAGAGAACCCACTCCCTCATGAGGCAGCCAGCTCCAGTTCTAGGCAGATGCATTTTTAGAAAGTTCTTCCTCTTACCCATTGCTCCTAGTTCTGCCCTCTGGATACAGAGAGGACAAGTTCACTCCCTCTGCCTCAGGTAACTGGCAGAGCATTTTCTTACATCTCTCTGAAAAATGGGAATTTGCAAAGGAACCAGTGGTGGATCCATGGCTCACTGCTTTGCAACAGACAGTACCCAGTCATCATAAACGGCAGTGGACAAAAAGTGACTGTTTGTTTTGGGAATACTATGGTTTAAAAAAAAAAAAAAATAGGCCCAAGCAGTGCCCTTAGGAGTTTGGCATCCTCAGAAGAATTTAGGAATCTAAATCCCAGGGTCAGGCCAGAGAGCTGTCTGCTTCCAGGTCTCTCCACCCCTGCCGAACTTGACAGAGGTAGGCGCTGGACCAGGAAAGATGTAAGTCTATGATCCTAGAGAGAGGGACCCAATTCTTAGCTCTTCACCTCCTGAATAAAGGGGATGTAGCAATAGTCATGCATGCACGGGGCTACCTTAGCAAAACTGAAAGGGCCTTAGCGGAGTAGGGCTTGTCTAATTACAGTACTGTGGCTCTTCCTTCCTCTTCCCCCTTCTTCCAATAACAACTGGCGGGAACCAACAATCAGAGACCCACTAATCTCAGTACCACCTTCCCCATGGGAGAAGAATTAGCCAAACCATCAAAACAAGTCCTCACTCCAGGCCTGCCCCCAATTCTTCCATCAAGACCATTATGTAAGTCAGCCAGTGACCTCCACCCTCAAGGAGAAAGTGATTTCCCTGTGCTTCCTCACTTATCAGCAACTCTCCAAAGGCAGCAATAACGTCTTTGTTTAACTTTTCCATCCAGTAAATTATGAAGTCTTGCTGTTTAAAACTGACTGCAGGAACCTCCTCTACCAAGAAAAACTAAGTAGCAGGGAAAATCTCTATAAGGGAGAGGGAAGTAGGCCTGAGGACCAGTGGAGACAGAAACAGCAGTCTCTCAGGCAGGCAGTGGCTGGACTGGAGAATCCCTCTGCTGTCAAATGCTAATGCTCAGCTCTCTCTTCCTTACATTTCATGCTGGGGTTTGGCCACTGTCTCCCAGTCTGTAAGACAGTGCTAGTAAGTGCTAGCCAAAATGCCTCGTGGGTGATTTCACATAACAACAAGGACTCAGAATCATAGAAGGACCACAGAAAGGAAAGACCTTTGGAGTATGGAAACTCCATTAAAGTGATATTTAACTAGGGCCCAAGCCAAATCCATTCAATCATTTCTGCCAGGGACAACACTAGCAGAAGTCCCAATAAACATGTACTAGCATCCAGGATAACTACAGGCCCTACAGGCAGAAGTGCTGAGAAGCCCTCAGAAAACTTTCCACAGGTGGGGAGATTCTGATGGCACACTCATTACGCCCAACTCCAATAGTGGATCCCACTCCTCCCAGTCTAAAAGGGATTTGATTGTCACCAGCTCATTTCCTAAGAGATCTCCTCTGCTTACTCCTCTCAGGACACATGACTTTGGGAACAAGGAAGTCGGGTTAAAAGATGGAAGAGGCAGAGGACAGAGCTGAGTTTGCTTTTACTCTAGATTACAATGAGAAACATCTTCACCTGGCAGGAATCGTGGCTACTGGGTGCAGGCAGTGAGCTTGCAGCAGTTGTGTGAAACCAGGCTACTTGGTACTTATTACTGTTAAAACCTTAAGACTTAGCCCAAAGGGAAATGAGTTACAATGCTGTCTTGTCTAAGGGCTACTCACTTCTTTTTAAAGAGCTTGCGGAAGGAGCTGCGAAAGCCCCCTTTCTGGTCTTGCCTGGGATTTTGATCGCTGAAAGATGTTTGTTCACTTTCTCTTTCTTCCTTTGGACAGAATCTGGTGGCGTCTTCTAAATGCATCTCCTGAAAACACAAAAGAGGGGTGTTTTTTTACTCTTTTCCAAAGTTAATATCTATCCTGACTGTGGGACAATTTTCTTAACCGTCACTTTCCTCTACCACCCCGAAAGACTAATGGTGGGCACTCTATTCCAACTAAAGCAAACCTAGGCTAAGAAAATAGCAATTGGTTGGAAAGAGGATAATTTGCCACTGAGTGTCGAAGTATTTTCTACCTATCAAGGCAAACAGTCTAGAGTAGGATTATGATATAACAATAATTAAAGATGAGGACATAAAGGAAGTTAGCAACTATTCAAGGAGTATAGAGATTAACGTCTTATTCTGGCACCAATTCTGTCTCGCTGGAAAACCAGTAGTTGTCCCTTCATATCTTTGGGTATGTTTCTCTTTCTACAAAATAAGAAAGTTCCTTGATTGTAATACTAGTTTTAAACTCAAGTTCCTAACTTTCCATTTTAGACATAAATGAGGGAAGGAGATTTTGAGAGGTCAGATCTGTTTAGAAGTAAATGTCAACTAGTATTTCCAACCTGCAAATGTGCCTTTCATATAGTTTTTTACAATTCTTAATCTATGGTATTTGGAGTGTAAAGACAAAATAAGGCTCTATCTTTTGTGAACTCTCTAGTTTCTTTTTAAATGTGAGATGTGCTAAATAAAATAGATATGCATATATATTTATATTCCCTACGAAGAAAATATTTACTTTGAGGTGACTAAAATTTAACACGAGAAGTCAAAGCAGAAACCACCCTGAAAGTTTCATGAATTGGATGGGTGACTGCTTGCCGATAGAGAAGCAAAGAGGGTGGATGAATTTTTGCAGGAAACACATGGGTTTGACTTTGAGACCTTAACTTGGAGTTGTAATAGCAGATTTACAGATTCTCTGAGAATCTATTAAGATTCATAACTAAACTATGGAGATCAACATCTTGATGGCTTAGTGTGGTGTTTCTCAAAGTGTTGTCCCAGGGTTAAAGGATCAACTGGGGCCTCTATTTAAAATGTAGATCCCTGGGCCCCAATCCAGACTTTCTAAATCAGATTCTCTGGAATTAGGCCTAGGTAATCCTTATGCACACACTTGAGATTTTGAAAACCTAAGGTTTTAAAAAACCATAGTGGGTTAAGGTATGCTCCTGCCCACCTGCACTTAATGTTTGTATGAATCACCTAGGAATCTTGTTAAAATGCAGATTTTGATTCAGTAGGTCTGGGGTGGAGCCCAAATTCTGCATTTATAACAAGCTCCCAGGTAATGCTACTAGCCCAAGGACCACATTTCCAGAAGTAGGCTTTTAGGGACTCTTTAGGAACTAAATCTATTTATAGTTTAAGGAAAATCTTTCTGTGGAATCACGATCTTAATAATATCTTGCATTTGTATAGCACTGGAATGCTTTACAAAGCATATTCACAAACTGTATCTTATTTGGCCTGATCCTCACAACAACCCTATGAGGTAGGTGAGGTATACATTGTCTTACTTTTACAGATGAGAAAACTGGAGGCACAGAGAAGCAAAGTGAATTGTCCAAAAGCACACAGCTATTTGGCAGCAGAGCCAGGACTAGAACCCAGATCTCCTGACACCCAGTCAGGTGCTCCCTGCACTAAAGCATACTGTCTTCTATCTTGACTCTTAGAGACAGAACACTAAAGACTAGAGTTTGACTGTCTCTTCCACAGATAGAAGATACACAGAGTATATCTGAGGAGATGGAATCATAGGAGCCTTACACATCTCAGCAGGAGAGAGCTGACACCTTTCAAGACAGAGCTTTTGAAAGGTTAGTCTTTTGCAACTAAAACCCCCATCTCACTCCCACCTCAAACACACTCACACACAAACATGCACACACATACATACATATACATACAGATGCTTACACATGCACACAAATACACACACAGCCTCTACCCGCCTGGACTCTGCGTACCAACTCTCTCTAGGACTCCCAACAATCCATGCCTTCTGAAATTTTAGAAAGAAAAATTTTGTCCAAAAACAGAAATAAGCAATGTAAACTTTGAAAAATTCACATGCTTGAAAAATTTACTGATAACTGAAAGAGAAAAGGCCTCTTTTAACTGACCTCCATTTGAACCTCCTTAGTGTCACTCTCTGAACTGAACTCATGTCTGACACGGTTAGGGGATGAAACTTGCTGTCCAGTATGTCTGATTAACAATTAATATATTGTTTATTGTTATTTGGTATGTCTGATAAATAACCACAAATATTCTACTCATCGTTTGCTTCTCAGATATATTACTTATAATTTCTGATTAATGGTTTTTGCCTGCCAATTGTTGAACTCCCAATTTTTTCACATATCAACTTGGCAAAAAAGACATTTTTATGAATATGTGAAATAAAAGCATTCTTTGTACCTTAGACTATGCTAGTTAGAAGGTTTTATATGTAACTCTCTGCCCATCCCAAGTCACTTGGAATCGACACTTATTTCCTGTCTACTTTTCTTGTTAATGAACTTTCAAACTCTGACACATGCCTAAGATCAATTTGTATAAGAAATTTTGCCTAATAGAATTTTATAAAGTTCAGAGTTGAAAATCAGAGCCAGAAGGAAATCTGAGAACCCTGGAGAACCTCAGCAACTTGAGCTGAGCACACTAAGGTGTTTTCGCCCTCTGCAGGAACCAGAGACTTGGATTCCTGGAGTCCAGGTGGGTTATAAGCTTCAAGGCTCTTCATGACCCAGCCCCTTCCTATTCCTCTGGCCTAATGTCTACCACTCCCACCTGGCACAGTATTCAAGGGGAAAAGCATCACCCCGCTATTTTCTTAAAAAGCTCATGAGCCTTTTCTCATGTTTCCCTACCCCAGTCTTCACCTAGCCAACTTCGTGGCAGCTTTTAAGATATAATTCACACATTCAACTTATCTAGAAGGACTTCTCTGACCACCATCACCCCAGGAGGGTTTAAATACCCCTCCGATGTGCTCCCACAGTTTATTATCATTCTCCGTTTCTGTGTCTCCTTCCCGCACTAAGCCAGTGGTCCTGGAAGGCAGAGACTGGGTGCCATTTATTTCTGAACTCTCTGCACTTAGCACAGAGCCTGGTGCAAGACAGGTGCTCAGCGTTTGCTGAAAAATGAATGAATGAAAGGAGTCAGTGATCCTCAGTCTGTTCCCACTCACTTGCTAATGAGGATAGATGGAATGTAGGGCCCTAATTCCTGGGAAAACTCCTTCTAACTTAGGCAAAGGATCCCCAGAGCTTGAGGCAAGTGATACTTAGTGCAGGTAAAGTCAGTCCTGGACTATGTCATTTTCAAGATGTACCAATACAGAGCTGCCCTGTAAATCCTAACCACCACTTCTAAAATGATGTTAAACAGGAAGAATGGTGGCACAGGTCAGAGCTATCCTGTGACTGTTTAATCAGAAATTGCCTTTGTTCCAATAACATGCAGAGAAATCAAGAATTTGCTCAGGATCTATTAGCCCTTTCCTGGATATGTATTTAAACACCTCTTTAAATTTCCTGAGGCTTGCAGACACCAAGGTTAGACACCAAAATACCCAACATTGACATGGAGGCCAAAGAAGTGTTTGTGAGTCAGTGTTTCCTGGGCTATTTTGGGATGTCTCCGTCCCAGTGGAGGCTGCAAATTAACGTGACACCCTTTTGCAGTCAAAAGGAAAGCAAGCACAAATGAACCTAGCTTTGCCGAGAACGTTTCAGGGAGTCCTTGTTTCAGTGAGATAGGGCAACCTGCCTCCTCCCTACCTACAAAGAAGGCTGGCGGGGGTCGGGAGCAGAGCATGCGGGCACACGAAGTGTTCAATACTCTGCCTGTTAGGCAACAAGGAGATGCGCCTAACAGGCAGAGGAAGAAACAGCCAGGCCTGGGACTTGCGTGTTGTGCTTTGAAGGTGAAGCGCAACTCGGAGGCGCCACAGCTTCAGCAGGAAGGTAGAGAACACCTCGACCTCAACTGTGTGTGGGGGGGTGGGGGGGCGTTGAGGGGGTTAAGCAGGTCTAAGAAGAGTCAAAGTCTTTCCTAGTATCTCTTTGCCCCATCCATCCATATGTATGACATGCCCTTCTGTCCTGGTACTGCAGAAGGGGTGCCAACACTCGCCTTCGAGGGCAACTGAGGTGAAGCCTGTAACCCGGGCTCTCGCTCGGCATCCGCCTGGCCTCCGCTCCCCTCCAGCAAGCCCGCTTCCCTCAACGCTAGGTGAGCCCAGGCTGCTCCCTGGAGATCTAGGCCCGGGGCTGCTGGCGCTGCGGGACGGGGTTGGTTTTACTTTACCCTCCTTACTTCCAAATAGGTCTGCTTTTCGCTTTGGGACCTCTGTTGGGGGAAGAAGGTCCTGGGCGCGCCGCGGGCAGGGCCATGCGGCTGCGCGGCGCGCTCGGCCTTGAGCGGCGCGCGGCCGCCGCTGCTGCTGCGCGTGCTGTAGAGGCGCGGGGCCACGCCCTCGGGGGGCGGCGCGCGCGGGAACTCCTTGAGCGAGCGGCTCAGCGGCTTGGCCTTGCCGTGCGCCTGCGCCTGCGCCGCCTCCAGCTTGTAGGCGCCGCTGCTGCTCGCTGGAGACGTGGCGCTCTTGGGCAGCGGCTGTAGTGGGTGCTCGGGCCGTTCGGCCTCCATGGCGAAGCTGACGGGCCGCAGGAAGCAGATGTCCAGGCTGGACTCGGAAGAGGCTGGCGAGCAGTTCTCGAAGAGGGCCGGGGCTTGGAAGGGCTCCTCGTCGTAGGGCGCGGGCAGCGCGAAGATCTCGCCGCCGTACTCGAACTCCTCGTAGGCCGCGGGCACATAGCCGCGGGCGTCGGGCAGCAGCTCGGCCGGGGCGCGCAGGGAGCGCTCCACGTTGCCCAGCGGCTCGGCGGGCGAGGGCTCAAAGTCCATCTCCGGGATGGCCTGCAGGGGCCCGGCGAGCGCCTTCACGTCCTGCTCAGCGGCACAGAACTGCGCCGGCGCCAGGAGGCTCTCTGGCCTCTCATGCTTTCTGCCCTCCATCTCCCAGTCGCTGGGCTTCCCAGGCTGCATGCTCTCCATCAAGCTTTGCTGTTGTTGGCTTTTCTTCATTGGGGGCATCAAATGTCTTTACAGGGGAAACAATACAAAAGAGGTGTGCTTATGGTTAGTGCAGTCCTCTCACCCAGGGGCGCAAGGCTGGGGCAACACACATCCTGCCAGATACTGCTCGGATGCAAAGCTGCCATCTCCTCTCTTCTCGGCCCCTCCCAGGCCCCTAAGCGTATTGCCTACCAGGCTCCACAAACTTATCCGATTAAGGAGTTCCCACGCGCTCCACGTCCCCAAGTGGGAGAGTGAAAATGGCTATATGTAAAGGGGATGCCCGAAGTATCCGTCTGATTGAGGAGGCACTGTGTAGAAATGACTGGTGGGCCCAGAACAGTCATCACTTCCCATTGGAGGCTTTGAACCTCCCCACCACGTGTGAAGACCCCGAGACACCTCTTTCCTCTCCTTGCCCTGGCAGAGTCATACAAAATAATGGAAACAACTTTTGTTTGACTCACGGATCTTCACGCTTAAAAACAATTAAATTCCTAGATGAAGTAAATGTGGCATGATCTTCATAATTGTTGAAAGTGGATGATGGCATATGGGGTTCACTGTACTCTTTACTTTTGTGTATATGTGAAATTTTCAGAATAAAAAACTAGGAAATTACTTGTGGCTGTAAAGCATGCTTATGTAAGTCGTCTCAAACTTCTACCCACAAAAACATTACCAAAATGAAAAGGCTGTCACTTTGAATATGCCCAATTTCATGGAGGGTTTTTTGGTTTAATATGGATAACGAATAGTTTACATAGGCTACTAGGATAGCATACCCATCAAATTGGTTGTGATTTTTCTAGTTCTGCTGGAATTTAATTGCCAAACAGATATGAATGGGCTAGTATACACTGACCCAAACTGGTTATTCTGCTAGTTTAGGTATACATATTTAATTCAACCACAAAAATGCATAAAGAATGCAGATGTAAACACTAACACTGAATATCTTTCTCTGGTGAAATTAAGATGAAAATTAGGTCTCACAGAGGTGAAAAGAAATAGTAAAATGAAATATTGACCTGACTTGAATTCTCTTTTAACTTGGAAGATTGTTGTTGAATCTCTTCTGGCTATTTTCCCCCACACAGAGTGCAGTGACAGCCATCTTGTTGAGTCTCAGTATAATCTGTAGGGATTTCATTTTTTGGCTCTATTTGTTATACTTAAAGAAAATAAAGTTTGGGGTGGGCCCGGTGACACAGCGGTTAAGTTCACGCACTCCACTTCTGCGACCCCGGGTTCGAAGGTTTGGATCCTGGGCGCCCACTGACGCACCGCTTGTCAAGCCACACTGTGGCGGCGTCCCATATAAAGTAGAGGAAGGTGGGCACAGATGTTAGCCCTGGGGCCAATCTTCCTCAGCAAAAAAGAGGAGGATTGGCATTGGATGTTAGCTTAGGGCTGATCTTCTTCACAAAAGATAAATAAATAAGATAAAGTTTTATCGTTGTCTTAAGAGTTGAAGTGATCCACGAAGTAAATAGTCACTTCCTGTTGCTCACCCACTCTCTACCCAGGAAGGGCATTTTTTCTGTGTAGAGTTCTTTACCTACAAAACTTATAGGACTTTCTCTATAGGAGGAAAATCATCCTGGGCTCTATTTATGGAAAGGTTAATGTCTCATAGGTTTCAGAATAATTATGGAATTTCTCCTTCCTGCCTCCACATTTGCACTTCTATCGCTCACTGATAAACATTCTCATAATTTTAAGAGATGAGAGCAGGAAGAGGAAACAGGATTTATTTTGATAAGTTTCTCCTTCCAGTGATTGTAATTGGCATTCTCAAAACTGTAGTGATTAAAACTTGAAATAACCTCAGTTCCCTACCTCTCACTTTATTGTAATTTTAGGAAAGAAAAGTAGCTTCTTGCACGACTTCTACATTTTCCTTAAAATAATAAAACCCAAAGCAGAAATTATAGTCTAAGGAATTAGCTTTGTGAGAACTGCCTATATTTGGTAAAGTGGGGATTTGGAATTTTGAGTTTTGGTTTCCCTTAATCCTACCAGACGTCCTGGTTTCAAAAGCAGCCGAATTGACTTTATCCTTACCCTTCAGAGGTAAAATGAGTTCCAAGTATGTAAATAACCTAATCCTTACCCTAAAGATTGTCAAGAAGTTTGCTGAATGAGAATCTAGTTTAGTGTGCTAGAGGGTTACGTGCAGAGACTTTAAAAGGCTGTCAAGTCCATCCACTGTCCAGAACAGCTCTCAGAGAAGCTATTATAAGTGAAGAACAGAGCTTATGGAGTCCTTTTCTGAAGAAGCTTCAAAGAAAATTGGGAAGGGCTAAACAACTTTCTTTCTGCATTAGCTCAGACCTATTTCTCATCCTCAGAGCCCAGACTTCCTCTGACACCTGACTGGGATTCCCTTTCCCTTCACTATATCTTTCAGAGAACTTAAGGGGGTTCCTTCCGAGGGGCTATAAAATGCCTTCCTGTCTTATGGCACTCTCTTCCATTCTATCCTTGTCCAAACCCAAAGAGACTCATGCTGTCAGTAGAGGGTGGTTATGAGTGGTAAAATTGTTGGAAGTAACCTCCAGCCTTTAGACCTGCCCCTTAACATTAGTGCCTTCCTTTGAGACCCAAGCATTGAATCAGCTCCCTGCCTACCACATATAAGCTTGATGGGGCAAGAGCGAGGGAGGAGTCCTGTAGGTCATACTCCTAATCAAGGCTGGCCTGCTACCCGACCTGGGGTGAACTGCCCGGGACCGGAGGGCATTGCCATTACCCTTTCCACAGCAACAGGTGCTTACGTGACAGCAGGACCAGAACTGGGAGTAGAAGGGTAGGGTTGCAGCATCTCTTCTGAGTGGATCCCACTGTCTCGGACAACCTCAGGACCTGCAGTGGGGGAAGCATCTTGCCCGGCATTTGCACACTGGGAAGCCAGCCCTTTGTACAGCTTCGCCATGGATGACCTAACAGAATGGAAGTAACAATTCTCAGAGTGTACAGTGGGAAATTGGTTCTCTGAACACACAGATTATGCCACAGAGAGACAACATTTCTCAGATGAAGCTCAGCTGTGGAGTTCTTTCTCTCTCTCCAGGGCTCTCTACAAACCAGGTTGCTTACATAATAGGGTACAGGGTAGATGCTGGGCAGGAGTAAGCATGCCGATTAACTGGCTGAATTGAGTTTGGGGAAGGCGGTAGTATGGAGAGATTCCTCCATTAGAGGAGCCCTGGCTTGGGGATAGCATCTTTTTCTTGTGTGAAGTACCCACAGAAATGATTCTGTTTTCTTCATTGGATTGGGATGAGGTTGAACGAAATCCAGGTCATTAGGAAGCTCTGCTACAGGTTGCTTCTCTTATCTCTGAAGTTCAGATTCTCCCTAATCGGCCCTTTTTGTTTCTTCTTAGGGTGAATTCTGCTCAACCACCATCCCCTCTCTTACTTGTTTTACTTATATCCATAGCACTTATTGCCATCTAACTTATTTATTAACTGTGTAGTCCAGCTCTAGAAAGTAAGCTCCAGGTGGCAGAGATTTTTGTCTGTTTTGTTCATTGCAGTATATTTAGTGCATTGAACAGCGCCTGATACACAACAGGTGCTCAATAAACATTTGCTGAATTAATGAAGAAAACCACATTCTGGCCTTTAAACTAAAATTTTAAATCTGGCAAATTTACAGAAACTGATCTATTTTTGAGGTGGTTAGCAACATGAGATAAGGAGGGGTTTGCATAGGCATGAGAGTGGAAGTGCTTATTTATTTTTCTAAAGTAATTTCCACCAGGTAGTAGGTGCTCCCTCCTGTAGCCAGCCTGGCCACCTATCTCCTCTCCCCGTCTCGCTTCTCTTCTACCTCCCGTAACTGCATTTCAGCCACTTAACATACACTGTGGTTACTTGTGACAGACACCCACACTGACTGTCTGTATTCCTATTCTCAGAAACTTTTGATCAGCCCTCTAGACTGCACCATCAGAACCTTACTTCTTGAGCTTTTTCCGTTTCTGAATAAGCAACTCCTCATTGCATTGAAACAGCAGGGTGTAGTGGGAGATAAATACTCGAAGGCGCTGAACACACACCAGAAGTAGGTAATAGTCAGGGTGTTCCTGTTCTGTGAACTTCAGAACATTCTGGATGGAGGAAAAAAGGAAGCAGAATTGCATAATTAGAATGAAAAGTTGTTTGTCTCTTCTGCACCTTGCCTTGATCTGTTGTGAGAGTTTGGTAGCCATTTAATCAAAACAGCAATACATATGGCCAATCTGATTATAAACTGAAAGGGCAAACTTGCTGTTCTCTTTATCCATCACACCAAGGGAAAATAATAGTTACTATTGCTCCTGTTTGGGTTGGATGTGTACATAAGATAATTCCGTCTGAAAAATTAGAAGGAGCTACTAATTAGATCTCTGAGGTCATGGTGTCATTTTAACAATTACTGTCTATAAGCAGTGCCTTATAACTTAGACGAGTCAGACTAACGGTAAGTATGTCAAGAGTCAAGGCATGCTGGAATGGGGGAATGTTTACGATCAAGCCTGGCCTGGTGCCCCCCCCCCCAGTTATATTGCCTACTGTGCTGTGGTGGAACATGCATGCTAGTTGGATTTGGGAAAGCTAACATTTATTGAGTACTTCCTATTGCCAAGCACTAAGCCCTTTATATTTTCTCATTTAACTTTTACCACAACCTGGTTAGATAGGCAAAATTATTACCTCCACTTAACAAATAAGGAAATTGAGGCAGAGTGAAGTTATGTAATCTTCATTAGGTCACACAACTAACGAGTAGCGGAGCCGGGATTTGAACTCAAGTCAGACAGCAGAACCAGGGCTCTTATTTACCATATTGCTTGCAAGCCTGGGTTTCAGTCCTAGTTTTTTTCACCTACCAGATGTGTTAACTTGGGTAAGTTACTTAACTTCTTTGGCTCGCCATTTCTTTAGCTAAAAAATGGTACTGATGATACCTATTTCATGGGACTGTTGAAAGGATTAAATAAGATAATTATTGTGAGAAAATGATTTTAAGGTCTAAAGCCACAAACAATTGAAAGTCTTTCCAATATTGATACTGGGTACTTCCACCGGAGATAAATCCCAAGCGTTTCTAAGATGCTTTTCACTGAGTTACTTAGGAAGATCAGTCAGCAATTAAACCAGAACAGGTGGGTGGTGGGAAGAAGAGGGGCTGGTAGGGGTGTTGATGTGCCTCTCTCTCAACTCTACTTTCTCCAGGGTGCTACAAGCCCTGTGGGAAAATGGTGTGAAGAAGTCAACTCATCAGCTTCTTCAAGCTTCTTCTCTGACATAAGACATAACCAATGTATGATAGACCCTTGGACCCAAGCCAAAAGAAAGCAGTCAGGATAGCAGTTAATTGGGCAGGTTACATAGGTATTTCTTAGATGCCATGGGGGTGGGTGTTAGGGGGTGCATTTAAATGGCTGTAGAACCAAGGTAGAAGGGACTGAATAGGTACTCAGAGTCTAGCAGGAGCTGCTATGGAAAGATCCTGGATCGGCAGAGATGTGGACTGCTGGTAAATGAAGACAGAACTTCAAAGGCAGGCATCATGAGCTGAAAATTTTTAGAGACAGATTTTAGCTCATACCACAAGGTGGAGATGGAGTAATCATAACAATCTAAATTATTTAAATGCTTCTTAGAAATATTAATGATTCCTTGACCCTTTACAGTATTTCTCAGTTGGAAGCCAAAAACAATTGTTTAGCATGAAAATTAGTTTGGTGGCTTGCCCAGCCATGCCTACCTGCAGATGTATCAGATATTCAGGGATGCGCTGGACTATGTGAAAAAACAATGTGTAGATGTCAGATTTAATCTCTTCATCACCCTGAATGAAAGAAAGGTAGAGTCACTCCTCAGTGTTCCTCCAGCTTTGGCTACAGAACCCCAGAGTCAGGCCCACAAGAGTAGGAAACGTTAACTCCTGGAGCGTTTTCTTCCTCTAGAGTGTCATGAAGCATTGATCTGTCATTGGAGAGGCCACTTGTTCAGGGACATGCTCAAGGAGACAACTCTTCTCTAACAGGGAGCATGTCATATACTTCTTTTGAATCTACCCAACTTTCCAAACTAATGCCTCCTTTCCCCTCCCCCCATCTTAGCACAGTGCTAGACAGAAGTGGGCGCTCAATAAATTATATTTGAGTTGAATGAATTCATTAAAGTTCTTCAGCAAGTAATCATTACAATGGTTTCCTAACAGGCACTATGGGTGGATTGGAGCCTCATGAGAGTAGGGAAGGGAGTATGATTAGAAACTGGTCAGCTGGCCTGGCAGCAGGAAACATGTTGGACTTTCCCCTTGTCCCTTCCCTTCTCTTCCTTTCCCTTTCTCAAATATTTGCCAAGTGCTGACATATGGTAGGCATTATACTGGGTTGGGAGTACTAGAGGTTTAAGTAGAAAGGTAATAAGACAGAGTCCTTCACCTCTTGTGAAACTTGATGAACTCTTAGCTTTAGGGCTTCTGATAAGTTTTTTCTCCTATTGACCTAAAATAGCTAGAATTGTTATATATTTATATGTGCTTATTGAGCATCTAATATATCGCTGCAGTAGCAATACTTAAAACAACATGACTAGAGCCACATTACCATCTTAGAAAACTGACACACACAGGATGACTTGAGTTTAATATTCAGTTTATATGAGTTTAATATTCAGATTCATATTGTCTGAGCCTGAAAGAAGAAACAAAACCCTTCATACAGCACGCAAGCTGCAGCGTGAAAATCTCTGCATAGAACACCTGTTTACTTCACCTGTACTTTCAATGGAATGGAACACAGGGTCAGTAAGGGAGAGCAAGGACCAAAGCAATGGCACTGATCCTTGAGTGAGCTCCTTTAACTCCAGGTAGGAGCATCAGTGTTCAAATCATTCTCCAGCCTGGAAGATAAGCTCAGAGTGCACGTGCTGTACTTCCCGGGTGAATAAGCAACATCGTATAGATATACGTGTAACCAAAGGGCAGCGCACACGTAGAGTTAACTTACCTCCTTCAGAACAACAACATGAACCAAAGAGATGCATTCAGGCAGGTCCCTCAGGTAGGCAACATAGTAATCCAAAAAATTATTCTTGAAAACAAACAGAAAAATGCATGGTAAAAACCAGGAAATAGGAATGATAGCAACTAATATTTTTATAGAGTTATTTATATCAAAAAGGAGTAGTTTGCAGAGATTAATCGTTTCTTTAATGTGTTTACTAATATCTTTTTGCTTTTTTAATTCACCCTTAAAAAAAATCTATTTGGGGGCGTCCCAGTGGTATAGTGGTTAGCTTCGTGTGCTCCACTTTGGTGGCCTGAGGTTCTTGGGTTCGGATCCTGGGTGCGGACCTACACACCGCTCATCAGGCCACACCGTGGCCGTATCCCATATACAAAATAGAGGAAGATTGGCATGGATGTTAGCTCAGTAACAGTCTTCCTCAAGCAAAAAAGGGGAAAATTGGCAACAGATGCTAGCTCAGGGCTGATCTTCCTCACCAAAAAAAAAAAAAAAGACTTTTTGGTTTTAAGGTAAATATCACTAAAGATTTGGGAACCAAAACTCAATAGCTCTGCTTTAACAAGAGAAAGGAAACCGATAAACCAAGGCAGAGGGAAGGGACCATGTAAGTTGAAAAAGTATTTTTAAATTGTTAAATGGTAAAAATGCATATTTGTTTTTAAATTACTTTTAATTTCAATCATCTACATCCAAATGAGGAACTTTGTCCAACCCACCTCATAGTGTCTAGACCTGTGGTTCTCAACTTTTTTCACTAATTGCATATTTCCACAAATTGCATATTCACCTATGCAATATGCCTTCTGGAAAACAATTCTCAGCTTCTGAAGTTATATTCTCATAGATATAACAATTCTCAGCCCAAGAAAGCATACTAACTACAAATGAGTAAAAGTGATATTAGAGGGTAGCAGTACATCCTTTCTAATCTATACAAGTAAGTAATTTGCACACTTGGTATTATTACCCATAGTTGAGAATCATTGATATACAGAGGTGGATTGCAGGAAAAATCTGGCTTGCAGACCAATTTTAGTTGGCCCACACAATATTTTTAAAATAATAAAATTTCGGGGGGCCGGCCCCGTGGCTTAGCGGTTAGGTGCACGCGCTCCACTACTGGGGGCCCGGGTTCGGATCCCGGGCGTGCACTGATGTACCGCTTCTCCGGCCATGCTGAGGTGGCGTCTCACATACAGCAACTAGAAAGGATGTGCAGCTATGACATACAACTATCTACTGGGGCCTTGGGGAGAAAAAAGGAATAAATAAATTAATTAATTTCAAAAAAAAAAAGAAAATTTCACACAAAATTCTGGATTTCCAGCTTCTCTTAAAATACCAGAAGATCTGGCTACTCTAGTCCTTTTTTTCCTGCATGTAATTGGATAAAGCTGAGTAGCTATTCCTTGCTGAAAAACATATGTGCTCCACTTAACCTCACTTTCCAACAGTCCATACTGTATTACATTCAGTTTACTTCTACTCATTTATGTCACTATCTGGCCCTGTAGGTATTGAGTTTGCAACTTCTGGCCTGGATCATATTTCTTTGTAGACCATTATAGAGATTTCAAAATTTAGCACCCTTTCTCCAAGGGGGTGAAAACAAAAAACATTCAAGACAAATAGCTGCCTGTCACGTTTTTAAAAATCTCTCAGGAATGAAATTGTGTATGAAAGTACATACATATACTTATTATATATGTATGTATAGATATATATGTGTGTCTAAATATATTTATACAGAAATACACACACATACACATACATGTGCATATTCAATTATAGTACAGTAATTGAATACATTGGGCTATTACAGTACAGCGGAAAGTGATGGACTAGAAGTTGAAAGACTTGGGTTCTAGTCACAGATCTACAACCATCTAGCTAGCTGGGTGATAACAGCAAAGGCTTTTAATTTCTTCGAACTTTCATTATCTGTAGAATGAGAAGTTTAGACTAGATCTCAGCAGTTCCTCTAAAATTCACTGATTCTAGATTCTCCATTAAGAGAAGCAGACGAGGGAGACACAGGTGCATATAATTCAAATTTATAAAGGATTAAAATAAAAAAGCTTACCTCATCATTTGTTAACTTAAGGAATAAATCTCCAAGGACTCCTTGGCGTGGCCACTTCAGAACCCTCTCCTGCAAAGCGTGAAGCAAATCCAAGTGCTGCTGGACAAGGTACCGTAAAGAGCTAGGGAAGAGACTTGAAACACAATAGAGACAGGATGACACCAACCAGGTGTAGAGAAGAAAAGACCCTTCAAGAACATGTGCAGCAGGTCCCATTTTCCCAGTCATTCAAAATATTCTGTCACAGGTCTGCATTTAGGATTTTAAAAAAAGGTTTATCATCGTAGGCCTCATGGCACGTATCCTCAGATTATAGAAAGACCCCCTTACTGACGGCTCCTATACAAACGCACACGGAACTAACAAAGAGCATATCACTTGACTAGACGTTGTAAACCCAAACTAGTACACTCTCATTTATGTGACACTCAGTGGAAATTCTAAAGGAAATCTTTTTTGATATTTTAAAGTTACTCTCGCTTGTGCAAAATAGTCTATTCTAATTAGTGTTGTAGATGACAGCACTGAGGTAGCACTTGGTCATTCTCAGCTACTACGCAGGAGACTGCCACTTGAGTAAGTAGGAAAATTTGTTTAAAGGCAACCATTAAAAGCTCAGAGGGTGGGGGTATGAAAGTGTTCCTTTTTCCCTTTCTTTCAGCTTCTATGAGGAATACGGGGCAAGGACAGAGTCTTGCCTGGGGAGGCTACAAATTAGGCCTCGCCTGCTACTCCCTGGAGTTGCACAGAGCTCTCTTACTGTTATCATATCCCGCTTCCCCATCTCTCAATATGCCTCATTATTTCAGAGGAAGTGAAGGGAGGAAGACAGAAGTCAGAGAAGGAAGGGATGGAGAGCAGAGATAGAAAGAGAATCATGGGGGAAGAAGAAGGGGGTTTGGATGGAGAAGGGTGGGGTGATCAGAGGTGTATAGGAAAGAGGAAGGAAGAAATAGAAGTAATTGGAGTTTTGCTGGGCTACAGCAAGGATTTGCACTCTAACTTGGTGACTTAGCGGAACTGAAAGTAGGTTCCCTTGTGCTTTCAAGACCACAAGTTTAACAAAGATGAAAGTGATGACCTGCTTGTCACTGAGAGCTGAACTTATTTGGATATTTCCCCAGGATCTAATGAGAGTAAATTAGTGGACAATTAGGGTGCTTTGCCAACCCTGAACAAGCAGACCTTTGTTGAGAACAGTAAGAAGGACACCAGTTTGAGAAGAGGTTTTTTCAACCCATCTCCAAGTAAAGCAAAGACTCCCCTGTGGCTGTAGCTCAGAGAAGACACAGGAACACCAGAATAGTGTACACAGCCCCCTGTGAAAAGATAAAAGGATTCCTTCCACTCCCATCTTCCGCCCCTCCACCTCCCTGCACCATGAGTCTCCGTGTATGTGAAGCCAGCTGATCAGTAAGCACAAGAGGAGAGGCCTCCTGATCAGAGCTCTTACACCTGGAGAAGCGGGCTTGGAAGATCTAAGTAATCCCTGTCCAGATCAGAGGGAATTCAGAGGGTCGGCTAGGACATAGTCTGACTGGGAGAAGACCATAAAGCTGATGGAGGAAGGCACAGCTGATCAAACTGAAAGAGTGAAACACTGCACCAGCAAAATATCTAGATGGGAAAGATTTCTCCCCACCCAGAGGCTATCGATGACTTTGGGTAACATTCCTGGTGAGACCCTGAAAGCTGTTAGGGCACTATGGTGAGATCTAACCTTGTGTTGGGTTGTCCATATAGGTCATGTAATACGTCTTGGATTATCTCTTTTCTTTTTCTCTCCTTTCCTCTTCTCTCCTTTCCCTTTCTTTTTTTCCTTTCGAGAAAGCTGCCTTCTGCTACATAGTGCCAGTGTATTTGCAGAGTTGGAGAGCTGGTACCAACGTCCTTCTGGACTGTCCACTGGTGTCAGAGAAGGCTAATGCTCCCATCAAGCATCGTGGAAGCACATAAGTTACATGAAGGGCAATGACCTACAGTGGGTTCTGTACCAAATATTGAAAACAGGCTTTAAAATCTTTTTCAGTTTAATAAGGATGTTATTTGAGATTGGGGAGGAGCGTAGAGGAGGTGAACCAGGAGACAGAGAGCAGAGGGAGAAAGAAGGCAAGAAGTATAGACACACTTAACCTATTTCGCTGTTTGCCTAGAGCCATACGTGACTCCCAGAAGAAACTTTTTCACGAAGATGAAAGTATTAAGTGCTCAACTTCTTTTCTGTTCCTCACTAGGGGTGAAATTATGGCAACATGAGTAGTTTATTCTTTTTAAAGCCTTCAAAGTTATTTCAACTCCCGCAACACAGTGCTTAAACAATGAGGGAAATAAACTAAACGCAATGAAGGAAAATCCAGTTATAGTTTCAAACTAATAACTTAGCTCTTGCCAGTTCAGTTTGAGGCCAAAGTCACTCCTGAGCTTCCGCAGCAGGATGCAACCAAATTTGATGGGCATCGATAATTAAAGGTGTGCCACCTGGTGGTGATCTGTAGCACACAGCTTGTTGAGTTCTTGGTGGATGTGGCACTGGAGTTTAGCTTATAAAGCTAACTGGCAATCCTGTCAAGCTGACTTTGCCCCTCCCCATGAGTGTTCAGACGGGGCTGTTTGATCCTGAGGTTGTGGGTCTACCTGGGTGAATCAGAGAGAAATAGTCAAGAACGCCAATTTCTGTGATCTTCCAACAAATGAGCAATAGCCCGCAAGTTCCTCTCAGGCTTCAGCTGGCAGCCTGTGCCCCTGCAGCTTGCAGCTCTTTCGGCCATGGGCAGGGCTGGCTAGAAAAAGGCTGAGAAGGCTCTTGAGCACTTCACTTTTTTTCTAGGGAAAACCCGAAGTTTTATTTTATAGGTTTGAGAAGACATGGCCACCTCAGGTTTGAGGGTCAGGTTGTAGCTGTGGTGGATGTCATTTTCACACCCAGGTTACTTCTCAACAGGGGTAAAAAGGGCTGAAGCCTTGTGGTTTGTGATGGGAAAGATAGTAAATGTTAATAGATTTATTTTCATCTTTGCATGAGGAAAAACACCAACAGGGAAAAGGAATGGTCTCATTCTGTTCTGTATTTCATTCCACTGGTCTATTTAAAGTACACATAGAGGCTTCAGAAAAGCTTAGAACAAGGAAGAAATATAGTGAGTAAAGAAAGATAATGAAAATCTAATCCTAGGGTAGAAAAATGGTGACATTGCAAAGCTCAGATCCAGAGACTTCATATTAGTGATAAGAGTATTAAGTTGAAGCTTTTCTCTTCTTGTTCTATGAAAAGAAAAAAGAGGGTTAGCTTAGTAATAACTAACATGAATAGTATTATCATGGATTTGAGAAATAACTGTTATTTTACTTTCACTGAGGATTATGCGGCAGTTTTAATTTTTTTTAATCTCAAGTTTTGGGAGAAATGTCCACTCCTTCCTCAGTAATGTGTCACAAGAGAACATCTTAGAGAAGCAGGAAGTGACAGCAAGTAGAAAAGAGCCTCAGTGAGCTAAGAACATATCCAGCATCCCTACTTGATAAAACAGCTTACGGGCTGTTAAAAGGAAGCCTGAGTCCTGAAATAGAGAGAGGCAGAAAGTCTGCTTCTGGTTATCTGAGAAACTTGACATATTGCTGTTAGTCAAGGTGGTGTCTTTTAAACCACAAGGTCCTCAGAGAAGCAGTGTGATGTTGAAAGAGCACAAGGTACAGGGTCAGATAGGGTTTGAATTCTGGCACTAATTGGCTATGAGGCCTTAACCCTCTGGAGCTCAGTTTCTTCATCTATAAGGTAGGATTCACAGGGTTCTTGTGAAGATTTCATGAAGTTATAAATGAAGTGCCTAGCACAGAGCCTGGTTACTGTGATCCAGCGTAAACAGTTCTCGCTTTCTCTTTCATTGCCTGGTCCCCAAATTCTCAGAGACTAGAAAGAGATGCTGCTGGCTTAGAATCTTAGATGTGGAACAAAGCCACACCAAAAGGTAGATCGGCTTTAGACTTGGGTAATGTAAACCGAGCAGGTCTTTGGCAACAGCAAGATAACTAGAGGCCGTAGAGCCTTCTCTGAGGGCTGAAGGGACAATCTTGGGGAGGGGGGAGGCATAGGACAAGCTGGATTGAGGTCTAGGAGGGAGAATTAAGTGGCCATAGGGAAGGAAGGACCAGCAAGAATCTGGTGGCCACTGAGAGAAGGTGAAGCCCAGTCCAGAGCCCCTGTTAGTCATAGCTTTAGCTGCACCACATTACCCTTTCTGTTCTTTGTTACTTTCTATTTTGTTTACCAGAGTTTTACAGTAAAATAATTCTTGAAAATAGTCAAGCCACTTGTGGGTTTGTCAGGGAATATTTTCTCACCTCAGTTATTTAAATAGGTGAGCATTGTGTTTTGGTGACTTGGTGTATTCTAACAGCTGCAAAACCAAGTAAAATTGGGGGGATAATAAGGAGCAGGAAATTACAATTAGGGGCTTCCCTAGGTGGAGTCACAATTTGTGAACCACCAGTGTATATTACCTGAGAGAATATTTAAAGTAATAATGCTACATTTGTCCATAATAGTCCATAATCCAGATTTTCCATCATTTGGATTGGCCTTTTCCTCAATTAATCTGGATTATTACATCTTCGTTACATAGTCTTTTCCACCAAATCATTGTTTCGTCCTTCCTGCTTTCTCCCAACAGAGAGGGAAGCAGAGAAAATCTAAAGATTATGAACACATACAGATCAAGGAGGGTTGTCACCTTGGGGCTAGCATGCTGTTACGCTACACCGCAGACCCTGTGGAAGCATTGCCCCACAACACAGGTATACACACACAGACACGCACACAACACCACACACTCATGCATTATCTGGTACTGTGGGATCACCTGAACAAATCATAGGAAAGGTCCAAGTCCAGAGTTACATCAGCCCTGTATCATTTATCTAATGGCCACTCAGTGCTTCAGACCTCCACTGCATCCATTACCCTTGTACCTCCATGACACCTGTGATCCCAGGAGGATATGCAGACGGCAACAGAGAGCAGTGCTCCCTCCCTATAGCATTTATTCTCCTTTTAGGTTCTTAATAGACATGCCAGGGACACTGAAGGCCCAGGAGACTATACCCATTTTCTTATCTGCTGAAAATCTAAATTTGAGACTTGCCAGGGGTTACCTACTGTCACTGCCTATTCTCTTTTCCAAGACTATTTCTGGAACTCTTCACAGGTCCCAGAATTCCCAAAGTGGAAACAATAAACAACTTACCTTAAATCTTAATCAATCTGAAAAGCAAAGGCAATGAATACATGGATACCTTCTCTCTTTTGAATTCCTCTTTCCATCTGACCCCTGGAATGTTGCCTTGATCTTCAGGATCAGAGAGATGTTAATGACGTATTTTCTTTCTGATTCAAGCAGTTCTAAAGCCACAGTCTGTCTTTTAGCTTTAAAAATAAACCAAAGAGGGAATTTTTGTTAACCCCTCCTTCCCAAAATCCTACTAAATGATAGAAAGCAATACAAAGATGTGGAGAGTAATAAAAAGAGACATCAGCAAGTTTTTGGAAGATGGAAAAACAGAATGGAGGCATGGTAAATAATTCAGCAGGGTAAAGGCACAAAACCTTGGTGTTCTCATCTGCAGATGGGAAATCTGCTGAGATGCAGAAAGGTTCAAGGATTGGAGGCACCACAGAAAGTACAAGTAAGGGGCAATGTTGAAAACAGGAGACACGATCTATATAAAGTGCAATTGAACTTCCAGGTCCCCACCCCCATGCCAGATGGCTTCCTCATTTGCACCCCATGGGAAATGGGAAAAATTAAACTAGAGACGCCCTGCTCTCTGGGACTTTGGCTAAAGACATCAGACATAGTAGAGTCAGAGTTGAGATGCTAAAATGAAAATAAAGGAACTCAGAGAAGGCTTGCATTCTCAACAGTGAGATTCCCCTCAGCCCCTTCCCCTGCAGTTCCCAGAATGCCAGCAGCCAGACTTAGACTCTTCAGGCAGGAGACTGGAGGATCTTCCACCAGAGAAGCTGAACTGCCCAAGGAAAAAAGGCTCGAGACACTGACACAAAGAGATCACCTGTCAAAAAGTTAATTTGCCACCTGATCAGCAGATAATGAAGCCCATGTATCCATAAGCTTGGCCAAATGAGACTTTTCAGATTTCTTTTTATTTAGGGCCTCTCTCTTAGATATAAATAATTAGCTAAGGATCCTCAGACATTCAAATCAAGCTTACACCATAAAAGAAAGAGAAGAAAAAAGTGTATACACATATATTTTTACAAAATGGGAGGGGGAACCATGAATAAACAGACAATGCAGAAACAAAAGAAAACTTTTTAAAAATCTTATAATTTATATCCTCAAAAAGATATGAGAAAAATATTCTAGCATTTATTAATTACAAGATGCTATTTTTTAAAAAGAAGAATAATCCAAAAAAAGTAGAAGAAACTTTTTGGCATTTTTAAAAGATAAAAGAGTAGAAGATAAAGTCAGGGAAATCCCTTGCCTCCCCCTCACCCAACCCCCCCCCCCAAAAAAAACAAGAAAGCGACATATTGAAGAAAAATAGACGAGAATAAGATGGCAGTGGAGAAAATCAATCCAGGAAATCCAACATCAAACTAGCAGAAGTTTCAGAAAAAGGAAAGAAAACGGATGAGAAGATATTATCAAGTTAATAATGAAAAAAAATACTATGACATGTATTTCCAGAGGAAAGGGCTCACTGCGCTCAGCATAAATAATGAAAAAGACACACATCATTGTAAGGCACACTACAACTTTAACACACCACAGATGAAGAGAAGATCCTAAAAGGTAAGAGAGAGAAAAATCAGGTAATGTATAGAGGACTGAGGATCAGAATGGTATTGGACTTTCCAACAATCATATTAGAAGTAAGAAAACAATGGAATAATTGCTTCAATATGATGAGGGAAAATGATTTTATATTCAGTTAAATTATCAACATATGTGGAAGTATGTGGAAAATACTGGATGATAGTTTCCATCAAAATAAGGAGTAAAGCAAGAACCAAAGAAGGACACACAAGATTTAAAAAAACACACACAAACAGGAATGTAACATAGGAGAAATATGAAGTGAATTTCTAGGAAAGCTGGGAAGTCCTAGGATGGCAGCCATGCAATGGGCCAGAATGGAGTAGGATGACAGAGGTCTCTAGGGCAAATGCTTTAAAAATAAAAAAAATGTAAATGATGGATTTTCTGTGAATTGTTAAGAAAATTTAAAAATATCTATGTAAATGGAGAGATATACCATGTTCTTCAGTTGGAAGACTCAGTACTGTCAAGATGTCAATTCTCTGCTAATTGGAATAAAAGAAGAAAGAATCTAGAATTAGACCCACCCATATATGATCACTTGACTTTCCATACGAAATTCAACGTGGAAAGGGAAGGTCTTTTCAATAAATGGTGCTGAGGTGACTGGATAGCCATATGGGAAAAAAAGGAACCTGAACTCCTTCCTCATACCACACATCAAAATTTATTCATTATTAAGTTATAAACCTAAATGTGAAAGCTAAAACTATAAAATCTTTACAACCTTGGGCTAAGCAAAGATTTCTTGGAAGGACACATAAGTCACAATCTATTTAAAAAGTTTAAAACTGATAAATTGAACTTCATCAAAATTAAAAACCTCTGTTCATCAGAAGACTATTAAGAAAGTGAAAAGGCAAGCCACAGACTGGAATAAAATATTCTCAATACATATATCTGACAAAGAACTCATATCCAAAATATATAAGAAGTCCTACTAATAGACAATAAAAAGATAACCCATTTTAAAAGTTGGACAAAGGACTTCAACAGGCACTTCATAAAAGAGGATATACGGATAGCCAATAAGCATATGAAAAGATGCTCAACATCATCACTCATCAGGGAAGTGCAAACTAAAACCACAATAGGATACCAGTATATTGCAAGAATGGCTCAAATTAAAAAGACTGACCATACTAAATACTGGGAAGGATTTGAAGCAATTGGAACTCTCATACATTGCTGGTAAGAATGTAAAATGTCCCAACCACTTTCGTAAACAGCTTTACATTTTCTTTTAAAGTTAAACATAATCCTATCCTATAACCTAAAGATTCTATTCCTAGGTATACACCCAAGAGAAATGAAGGCATACATCCTAAAAAAGATTTGTACAAGAATATTCATAGCAGTTTTATTTATAATAGCCCTAACTTGGAAACAAGCCAAATGTCCATCAACAGGAGAATGGATAAACAAATTGTGGTAAATTCTTTTAATATGATTAATAAAAAGGAAAGAACCACTGAATGAATTATACATTGCACATTATGTTGGGAGAAAGAAACCAGACACAAAAGAGTACACATTGTATTATTCCGTTTATACGAAGTTCAAGAACAGACAAAACTAATTTATGGTGACAGAAGTCAGAATAGTGGTTCTGTGGGTGGGTATTGACTGGAAAGGTGCATGAGAGAACATTCTGGAGTAACAGAAATATCGTCTATCATGATCTGGGTAGTGGTCACAAGAGGACTTACATATCTAGAAAGTCAATGAGCTTAAACTAGGGCTTTGTGAATTTTACTCTATGTAAATTAACTGTCAATAAAATATTGATTAAAAAAAATAGCAGCACAAACTTTTTTTTTTTTTTTTTTGGTGAGGAAGATTAGCCCTGAGCTATCATCTGTTGCCAGTCTCCCTCTTTTTGCTGAGGAAGATTGGTCCTGGGCTAACATCCGTGCCCATGTTCCTCTCCTTTATATGCAGGACGCTGCCACAGCATGGCTTGATGAGCAGTGTGTAGGTCTGCACCCAGGATCCAAACTTGCAAAGCCCAGGCTGCTGAAGTGGCACACACAAACTTAACCACTATGCCACTGTGCCAGCCCTAGCATAAACTTTTTCTAAAACATGGAAGCAAGTACCAGAAGAAACTGTCAAAAGAATTTAAAGTGGTTGCTGCTGTTCTTCGTAATAAACCTTTTAGCTTATTTTCATGTATTTGATAATAAAAGGTAATTTTTAAAAATTACCTCCCACAAAACAGTTGGAGGGAACTGCCATTGTCTGACATATAGTAAGCCTTCAGTAATGACTGAAGATTTGAAGGAAAGGAAGGAGGGAAAAAAGGGAGGGGGAAGGGAGAATAGACCCTGTCACAGTGCTTGACATTTTGGTGGTAGGCTACCGGTACAAGATTTATATATATGTACATTTTAATATAGGTACGGCTTATTTTTTATTTTTTGCAGGGAAAGATTCGCCCTAAGCTAACATCTTTTTCAATCTTCCTTTTTTTTTTTTTTCCCTCCCCAAAGTCCCAGTGCATAGTTGTAGGTCCCTCTAGTTCTTTTATGTGAGCCACCACCACAGCACGGCAACTGATAGACAGGTGGTGTGGTTCTGCCATCCGGAAACAAACTCAGGCTGCTGAAGCGGGGAAAGCGCCAAACTTTAACCACTAGGCCATCAGGGCTGGCTCAAGATTCATATACTGAAGATTCTGCATCACTGAATAAGCGGTTCACAAAATTCTGCCTTCTTCTCCACCAACCTTATGCCTTTTTTTTTTCCAAAGCACACATTACTAAGTATCATGGATACCCAGAATCTAGGTAGTAGTCCCAGCTGGCCATGTGACCTCAGGTGAGTCCCTTCACCTCTATAGGCTTTAGTTTGTTCATCTGAAAAGGAAACAAGAGACTAGGTGGTCTCATTTGTACACTGAATCTAAGTTGCAGGATCCTAGCCCTGAGGTTTCCTATTCTTTAAAATTTCAGCCTGCATTTCCCCTTGGGACTTACCAGCTAAAGAGGTTTCACACAATACATTTTCCAAGGAGCTGTGTCTGCCCTGGCCAACTTCCTTGAGTTTGTCTGGGTGGTCTTTCGTGACATATTCTTCACCCCAGTCTTTACCATCCTTAAGCTGCCTCCACACACCAGATGGGAGATGGCCCTTGGATTGGATATCAGCCGAGAGGCAAGACTTAATATTTTCTTCAGGTTCTGGGGTTGTTGGGTTCATTCCTGAAAAATAATACCTGTCATCAAGATCTGACTTTAAAAAAAAAATTATATTTGTTACTAACTCTTAAATATTATACCCGTTTGTGGACAACTATCCCTTGAGAATTAAATATATCAATTAAGGATTAAAAGTCTTCACAGTTGCAAAGGATCACCTTTCTCTGTTTCTGGTGTATACATCCTCTACTAAATAAGGAGTTTTTTAAAAAATTTATAAAACAATATAATTAATTTATAGTAGTATATATTGACTCCTCATATCTGCTTCCTTTCAGGTGAGCACACCAGGAAAGAAAACATAGAAAGAGGAAGGAGAAGGGTGCCAAAGACAATGTCTTCTTTTGGAATTTGTCCTCCTTGGCCCTGATGACAGTAAGTTGCAGAAAGGAAGGAGGAAGGGAGAGAAGGGAGATGAAATAATTTATTAAATTCTGGTGAGTTGTCTATTAAGTAAATAGTTTTAAATTAAACTATAAAATGTATGGTCCATAGAAAATTTATGTCGTGCTACATACACTTGTGAGTTCTCAGCAAATGTTAATTCATTGGTAATTGAAATGAGCCAGAAGAACCAAGAATACTGGTTTTGTCTTAAACTTTCCCACCCATTCTCTCTCCTTGGGTTTAACTGAGTCAGTGACTTACTCCAGCACACATCTTGGAATCTTAGTAACCATAACGCTTTATCTTGCCTGAGTTCTTTCATGCCTCATTTGGGACTGAGGGAGCAGAAGCAGGGAAGGTGGAAGAAGGGAAAGGGTGGAATTGCTAGAAGAAAAGAGAACTCGAACAGCCACTTACCGGGACCCATCATTCCCTTCACATTACTATCTCCTACATGCATGGATCTGGACTCTTGGGCTGCAAAGAAAGGCAAGTTTTCAATCAGTATTCATTCCACTCACATGGACAGGCATCTTCTGAGTCAGGCACTGGGGACAGACTCACAGAGTTTACAGTTTACTGGGGAAGACAGAGCAGTAAAAAAAGAAAATTACAATATAGTGTGGCAAGCACTATTTTCCCCTGTGTAAAAAGATACAAGTGGTACTTACCTCATAGACTACCATAGGAATTAAGTCAGTTAATACTTGTAAACTGCACACAGTAAGAGCTAAATTATTGTTTAACTATGATGGTGAGAAGGGTAATGATGAGAAGAGCCAGAATGATGCTGTTAAAATGTAAGTCAGACCCTGCCACTCCTCTGCTTAGCTCTCCAGTGGCTTCCCATTTCTTTGTAAAAGCGGAAGAACTTATAATTATCACGAGGTCCGAAAATATCTGGCCCCCTCCCCTGCCTGATGTTTCCTTTCTTTTTCTTAAACTGCATCTTCTGTTGTCTCCCTTGTTCACTCTGCTTTAGCCCCATTGGTCTTCTTGCTGTTACTTGAACATATCAGTTATGTTCCCACAGGACCTTGGCACTGGCTGTTTCCTTTCTTCCCCTGGCTATCTGTAAGGTAACTTTCTCACTTCCTTCAGGTTTTTACCTGGCACCCTCTCTAAAACTACACCTGCATTTCCTTATTTTTCTCCTTGTCACTGTCTAATATATTACATATTTAATTTATCTTGTTCATTGTCTGCTTCCTTTAGAACAAAGGCTCCATGGGGCAGGGATTTTTGTTGTTTTGTTCATTCCTACATCCCACCCCCTAAATCAGTGCCCGGGGTGAATGAATGGATGAATGGGCAGGTGAATGGATAGAAGGAAGGATGAACGGGTACTGGAATGGCCAACTGCAATCTCACAAGAGACCTTGAGCTAGAGGCACCCAGCTAAGCTGTGCACAGATTCCTGACTCAGAGAATCCGTGACATAATGAATGCTTGCTATTTTAAGCTAAAGAATTTTGGGGCAATAGATAACAATTGTACCATTTTATAATTGACTATAAGTAAGCCAACCCTTTCTGAAAGTGTGGTACTTTGACCCTGAGTTTTAACATAACCTACCACCAATCATATCGGGAATGTCTTATTATGGAACATTATTCCCAAATTTCTGCAGCAACTCGGTAGAACAAACTGTGTTATATAAGCCATGCCTATATAACAGGGAAGGAAGGACGAGTTGCCACTAAACAGCTAATTTAAATCCATCTGGGCGCTTTGCAGATATAATATTTGATCTTTTATTTTGTGAGCATGTTCAGCTGCCCCAGATCTGGCAGTAATCTGGCCTTGACTTTCCAAGCCCATCCTGTATTCTTCCCTATCAAAATCTTCCTTTTATGTCATGCTCTCCATGACATGGAACAAAGAAAATAGAGCCACCTGCATTGAACCCATTCTCCACAGGGATCAAGTGAGTTTTCCCAGGCTGCACCTATCAGTCTCTAAAATAAGTACTCAAATGGATAAAAAACTAAACATAAAAAAGCAAATCTGTGGGGCCTGCCCATTGGCGTAGTGGTTAAGCTCACGTGCTCCACTTCAGCGGCCTGGGGTGTCGCAGGTTCGGATCCCGGGTGCGGACCTATGCACCACTTACCGAGCCATGCTGTGGCAGGTGTCCCACATATAAGGTAGAGGAAGATGGGCACGGATGTTAGCCCAGGGCCAATCTTCCTCAGCAAAAAAGAGGAAGTTTGGTAACAGATGTTAGCTCAGGGCTGATCTTCCTCACCAAAAACAACAACAACAAAAAAGCAAATCTGAACTTTGAAGTTAATACCAACTAAAAGCCATTTGATTTAGATTTTTATCAGTTATTCAAAACACATTTATTGTCTGTGAATATATGAGCCACATTGTTCCTCAAGCCATAAGAGTAGAAAACCACCAGTACTGCCCTTGAGGAGCTTACAATTGGTTGAGAAGTCATTGAGCTTCTTTTGGAGACTTTCTACATGCAACCAAAAAAAAAAAAAAGAGGAAAATTCATCTAAACCATGTTAATATCTACATTCATGCTCCTGTGTATAAGGTGCTATACTTGACATTGTTGAGGATACAAAGATATAGCAAACACGTAACCAAACATTGTTATAGACGTCCCTGGGAAAGAAAGCCAGTTTCTTCAGTACTGCCTGCAGACAATTTTCTAGTATCTGTTCTATCATCCCTCAGATTGGGGATGTGGCTGGTCACCGTTTCAGCCCACAGACAGCACTAGCTCTGGTTTTCCAGGGAAAGGGGAGTACAGAGTTAGACTGCCACTGATGTCACTGCCTGCCAGTTAGAGCAGATATGACCTTTTTCATATCAGTGAAACCTTTGCTGGAAAAAAAGGCAGAACACACAATTTTGCGTCTATGCAGAGAGACAAGGATTGAGAAGTAATGCAGAAAATAAAACAATTTATTACAGTAAATATTTTTTTTTATCATTTTTCTTCTATGCTGGATATAGTATTATTGTGCAATAAATTATTTCTAATCCATTTGAAATTTAGAATACCCAGATTAGTATTTTCCCAAAAAAGAAAATCTTTTAAAATGTGGCAGACTCTCCTAGTCTCTCAGATCCTCTGGATTCCTCTAAACTCCAGATATAAGAGGAAAAATTCTGTGCAATACACCATCTTCATCTAGTAAGGATGGAGGACTGAAGCCCGTTCTTACAATTACTTAAGCCCATTCTTGCTATTACATAAGCCCTTAGGAATCAAGGAAAAAATGCGTGGCTAATTCAATATGATCTGTGAACTGTACCTTTTTCATAGGCCTGAGAAGGCAAGAGGTTTGTAAAGTCTTCATTCGGAAGAACAGGCTCAGGGATATTGATGGAACGGAAAGGACTTCCTTGTGCTTGAGCAGACCCAGCCTGTGAGCCGTGTTCTTCTTTCTGACTTTTCCTAGGGAAGAAAAACAAAGAGTCTTAATACCCGATGGGTTAAGAAGAGATTCAGTCTGGAATAATTCAAGAAAATTTCTAAATTATTAGGTTGAACCCTGTAAAATTGCTGTTTTCGTAAACTAAAAATGGTTAAAGACTAACAGTTCATATGGTTCAACTTAATTCATCACCAGAGCTGGAGAAAAAACTTCAAATGTCTATAAATCACCTTCTAATTGTAATAGCTACATTCTTATTTTTCTCTTACTGGCTTCCCTGTCATCGGGATCTTTAGAGTTTGCAGTGGTGACAATGTGCGTGGGATGATTTACATTTACTTAACAAGGCAACACAAAAGTACCTGGAAATAGCAGGTCTTCAATTGAAAACAATAAGCCATTCTCCAGGGTCACACGAATATTATTGCCATATTTCTATTTTATAACAATAAGGATTATATACATTCAGTGTTGAAATTACTTGATTCAACCTCATTGACATATTGTTTAACATAAATTTATTTTCAATAGCAGAAGTAAAATAATAGGAGCATTAGAGAAACTTTAGAAAACTAATAAAAAAGGAAAATCACTGGTGACTCCACTATCCTAACACAACAATCATTATTATTATTGTTGTTGTTATTATTATTATTTTGGTGAGGAAGATTAGCCCTGAGCTAACATCTGTTTCCAATCCTCCTCTTTTTGCTAAGGAAGATTGGCCTGGGGCTAACATCTGTGCCCATCTTCCTCTACTTTATATGTGGGATGCCTGCCACAGCATGGCTTGGTAAGCAGTGTGCAGGTCAGAGTCTGGAATCCAAACCCCCGAACCCTAGGCCACTGAAACAGAGTGAACAGAGCGTGCGAACTTAACCACTACGCTACCAGGCCAGCCCCAACAATCATTATTTTTAAATATGTCTTTCTAGATGTTATTTTACATGTTTTCACAGTTGAAATCACATTCTACATGCCACTGTGTATCTTTTTCACTTAACTTCCTATTGTATTAAGTGCATTTTCCCTAATAGTTACTATCTATGTTTAGTATTAACCAACTTTAATGGCTCTATAACTTCCATCACATGCTGCCTCAGTGGCCAGTTAAGCTATATACTGATAATGGGGAAGGTGTTACCGGTGCCTCCCTACAAGCCATTGCTTACGAGTTTGCCTTTGGTCAATTTTTTTTGTGAGACACTCACTTGGCTTTCACTTTTCGAGATTCTCTTCGCTTTTCCTGTTGAAGCTGTTCAATTTTCTGTTGCATTTCTTCTTGTTTGGAAGTGATGGCCTGGATCATTGACATGGCATTGCTCAGCTCTTCCTAGAAAATAAGGATCGATATATATTTAATCTGGCATATGGGATAAAAGTATATAACATAATATCTAGTACACAGTAAGCTTTTGATACATATTTGTTGAATGAATGAAAGATGAAAATTTTACTTCTATTGTGGCCTCTGATTTTTTGTGTGTGTGTGTGTGAGGAAGATCAGCCCTGAGCTAACATCTGACAATCCTCCTCTTTTTGCTGAGGAAGACTGGCCCTGGGCTAACATCCATGCCCATCTTCCTCCACTTTATATGGGACGCCGCCACAGCATGGCTTGACAAGCGGTGCGTCGGTGAGCACCCGGGATTCGAACCAGTGAACCCCGGGCTGCCGCAGCAGAGGGCGCGCACTTAACCACTTGTGCCATCGGGCTGGCCCTGTGGCCTCTGATTTTAACACAAACCTCCAAGAAAGAAAAACATGAAATAGATCTTTTTCCACGATAATTAGTGAAGGAGCCAGAGAGAAAATTCTTATATTTAGCTGCTACACAAAAATGCAAGTTTTCTACTTCTGTTGTTAAAACCAAGAATCTCTCTTCAGCAGAGAAATAGAGGAGGGGCCTACCTTGAAATAGTTTAATGAATTCTTCATCTCAGTAACTTTTTCTTCCATGGAACATCTGCAACTCTTAACCTTCTCTTCCAAAGCATACTCTCCATGTTGAATTCTTGACAGTTCTTGCATCGCTTCTGTGAAACCAGTTTTGAGTTCAGAGGCTAGGGCCTGCAACTAAATAATACACGAAGAGTGAATTCAATTTGCTATAAATTATTATCAATAGTACCATTGACTCGTTGAATGTTTCTTTTATTTGAGAAATCAGGCTCTTTAAAATCTACAGACCTCATTTACTGGTAGACTAAAGTCTGGACAACTTAAGGCAACCTTGGCCCCATTCATCTAGGGAAAAGAGGGTCTTTTTTATACAGAACATGCTGAAGCTTGATGGTGACAAGAAAGCAAGCAAATAATTAAGTTTACAAGTATTCCTGCAAGGTACTATTTATTCTAACACCTTTGATTAAAATGAGATTTTTAAAAATCTTGAAAAGCAACACATGTGAAAGACAATCTTGATCTGGTAACTCTTCGAATTCCGTCAAAGAAGGGATGGGTCATATTATCCCTGGTTGTGATGAGAAGATGAAGAAATTCAGTTATTTTTTCCTTAAAAAATTAAATGATTAAAGAGTAATAACTAAGCATATCTGAGAATTTCTTTGAAAAGGAAGAAGTCTTTTTTTATATTCTTGGATGATGTCATGGAAAGGGAGATAATGGCATTTTCAGTGGCAGTGTGCTTTAATCCATTAGGAAGGCACAGAAATATCTACAATGGTAGGAGTTCAGCACTGTTGTTGACAGCCATATGAATCATCCTCACCAGTCAAGCCTGGTCATGTAGGAATGCACACATTGAACTTCTATTGTCACCTTCCGTGCTATGAAAAGGGTGTCAATTTTGGAGTCAGATAAGGTAGAAATTCGAGCTCTCTCCTAAGTACTAAGACCTTAGGCAAGTTGGTTAACCTCTTTGTAGCAGTTTCCTCATCCATAAAATAGCTATAATACCTATTATATTTATATATATATATATATATATAATACCTATTATCTATTTCACAGGGCTGCTTGAGAATTAAATTGATAAATGTAGGTAAAGTGCCTGCCACCATGTATGTTTGGTACATAGAAGGTGTTCAAGAAATTTTAATTCTCCTCCTTTAAGTTGCAAATCAAAAAGTTAAGCACAAACAGAAATGTGGAGAAAATGGAGCACTTCTAAAGTTCAGTTTTATTTATCGAACAAATGTAAAAAGCATTTTCAACAGACAGAAAGTTTAGATAATAATAATAAGATAATAATAACATTACTTTCTTGACATTTATGGTCTTACACTCTGCTAAGTAGAGGAACTCTTAGCTCCAGATCTCTCTTTAAAACAGAACTTTTTAGAAGGTTCATTCTATAATTAAAAGTATCCCCCAAGTATTCTTATTTTAAAGGGATGGAAATTAAAGCCCAGGTGCCTTAAAATTCCTTCAAATGTGTATTTCTAAACATTTTTGGAATCTGATTGTCCAAATGGTTCCAACTTGCAATGGCACCACCCATATAAAATGACTTAGTCTCCTACACCACATCTTTAAAATATAGGGTTTTGTGATCCACTGTGCCCCATAAAGGTTTCTTTTGAGGGTGAGAGTAGGGAGAAATGAGAGGAATGAAAGAGATCATTCTGAGAAAAAAGCAAGACCTGTCAAGTGTTTGGGGCTGGAAGACTGGGAAACAACGTGAGCAACGTTTTTCATTCCAATCATTTTTTATTTTAATTAATCTTTATGATGGGTTTCAGCACATATCCTAATTCAGTCAATCATGATGGATTAAATCACCAGATCAGCTACTTTTGATCTGGTAATTCTCACTATATAAATTCATCTGCTGTGAGCAAAATAAATAAAATCAATGACTACATAATATCAAAGCAAAATTTATGAAAGTTTTAAAACTGAAGGAAGGAAACCTGACATTCATTCAGGTGCTCCGAAATTCACTCAGGTTTCCTGCTTGAAAAAAAAAGGGAACCACTATCCGACAGAAATAGGTTTCATTATCACTACTCCCAGAGGTGGATGTGTGGCGTTTTCCCCAGGAGCCAAAAGGCAGTAGGAGGGTCCTAGGGAAAAGGACTTTTCCTCACCTGTAGAACCCCAGCTCTCCAGAAATTAATAACTATCGAAAGTTTTCCCTAACAGCAAGGTTAAATGGGGACTTTGGGAATTTTGAAACCATTTAGAGCTATGAGCCCATCTTCTTCCCATAGATGACTTCGAGCCCCTTGGGTATCTGCCACTGAAGTAACACTACTGCTTTATAAACAGCTTCACAACCACTGAACAGCCAAGGAGGGCAGGCCGTGGTGAGCACAATCACAAACCTGAGACAACATCTCACCTTTCAGATGCTTGGGGCTCTTAATAACTTTAGCTGCTACAGACTGGTTTTCCAGTACCAACTGGCCGTTGCTTTGTGAATTAAAAATACTCTGAAGACATGGACTTAAGATCTTTTTCTGCTCTCTCTTCAGCTTTCTTATTTGGCAGCCCACAGCCCACCCCAAGGATTAGAAATGGATGTCTACCTTGTTCTCCAGCGAGTTGAACACGTTCCTCATCTCGTTGATTTTTTCATGAAGCTGCTCTAGAGAGGTTATGATCCCTCCATCCTGCCGCTGGAGGCGGGCTCCCACTGGAGGCAGGTTCAGGGAAGACTTGTACTTCGAAGCCTAGGGTACCACAGAGGGCATCTTAGGCTCAAAGAAATAGGGGAGAGGAGTCCGAATTCTTCCTATTTCCTGCTCTTAATTTCTGTTTCTCTATTTCCTTTACTTTCTTGGCTTCTTAACTCTTCTTAAGATGAATTTTAGTCAATGTTTTCCAATTTGTTTTCCACCAAATATCCCTCAAACTAAATGTTCATAAATTATGCAAGTCGTTCCAATTTGTTTTTTACACAGACTTCTTCCTTTCTGTCCCATTTTTAAGGTCAGAAGGCTACTGTGAGGCAAATTCAGGGGAATGAGCCTGTGCCTTGAGAACTCTGCAAAGGCATACATGTCGAGATTTGAGAAACCTCCACACGGTATGCCAAATTCCTACAACACCTGACTAAAGGCTCTTTATGAGCAAAAGCCCAGGTGTTCTGAAGTAACACATGATGGCAAGGATGCCAAGGTAATTGCTTTGGTTTCCCCCTAAACCAGGGTTACTACAGAAGAAACATGGTCTTTCTGCAGCTTCCACCTTCCTAATTTTAGGCCTGCTTATCAAGCCCCAGCAATGCAATGATTTAAAACATAAAGTGGGTTGCAAGTCATTTGAACAGTCAAGAGTAAATTCCTCAAATCTCCTCTACACTCCCTGCAGAAGTTGGCCCTTAAAGTCATTCTTACGGGGCATTATTGAAGCTGATATGAAGCCTGGTATGCTGGAAATTTATCCCCCCTGGATGCACCACAGGCCTAGTAGAGTTAACTTCTCTGGTGTTACAAGACATTCCTCAACAGTAAAAAGAGATTGAGGCTCGAATAGGACTGACAAATTCTAGAAAACTTTCAATGGCAGTTTTAACGATTGAAACCTATTACTGTAGGACTGGTTCCCATAGTTTTTCAATTAGAGGTCCTTTTGGCACATACTTCGTTTCATTGCAGAGAAAAAGAAAAAGGAAAAAAGAGAATCACCCTAAATCTCATTACTTTAATATAACCATTAATGTTTTGGCACATTTCTTTCTGTTTTGTTCTGTGCATATAAATACAGATATTTGTATGCTTGAAATCACACTACAGATACATTTTGATTCTGCACCCTCCCTTTTTTGCCTAGCATTCTTATAGCCTTAAAATTTCCCATAGCCTCAAAATTTTTTTCTAAGTGTCTACTTTTAATTGCTACATAATATTGCATCCTATGGATGTGCCAGAGTTTACCTACCCATTCACTCTTGTTGGAAATTTATGTTGTTTGTAGTTTTTCAATATTATGAATAATGCTGATGTATAATGCTTTTTATTTAAAGCTTTGTATGTATTTCATATTATTTCCTTAGGATAAATTCCTAAATATGAAATTACTATGAGTCAAAGGATGTTAGGTAGTAATTGACCCAAAGGGAAACCTACTGTATCGGAGGGAAACAATATATTCAATTAATTAATAAGTGTGCAAAATATATTTAACCAGAGGGTTTTAAAAGTTATAATAATATGGTTGCATATTCTTGGAAAGACACTGTATGATGTGTAATATTCTAAATTAGTGTATTTAGAAAAACATATCTTGGACAAGATATATGAAACATAAGTAATATAAATGGAGGAAGCTGCAGTATTTACATTCCTAAGGCTATGAGTGAGCCAAAAACACAGTTGGAGTTCAAACCATTAGTGTGAGGGTTGAGCTAGGACTAAATTGTGCAGTTACCACATCTGTTGCCTTAATTGTGGGAACCCCCCCCGGACTTTTCATGTTAATGGAATCATAATTTAAGAATCTATATGCAAAATGAAGTAATCAATGGTGAAGCAGCACAATCTGACTCTGGAAAAAGAGATTGGGATGGACTTTGAGAGGGCTGTGTACAGTGGCCACAGGACAAGAGAAAAAGGGAATAGACCTGGGCTCAAATAAAAAGGAATAAGTATACTGAGCCAGCAAACCCAAGGGTTAGTCAGTGCATCCACACTGATTCACCTGTCCTGGTAGTCATTCTACCTGGAAGGCACTGGGAGATGGGAGTGCTCATTCTCCCGTTGGCTTCTGTGCCCTGATTTGGATCACTGTATCTTACTCTTACCAAAGAGGTCAAGGCCATCCAAAGAACAGGGAACCAACGAGGAGTATGAATATTTTAAGACTTTTACTGCATTTTAACTGATGATTTTCCTAAAAGTTTCCACCAATTTACACACACTCATCAGAACTAAATATTATTATTTTGTTATTTGCTAATTACATAGTCAAAAAATAATACTCCTTGTTTTATCGTTTAAAGTTTCTTTGAGCTTCAACCTTTTCTTCTGTTTATTAGCCATCTGTAATTTTACTTTGGTAAATTGTCTGTTTATATTCTTTGCCCATATTCTACTAACGTCTCAGAAGCTTCCTTTTTATTGATTTCTATGAACTATTTATATATCATTAAACTTTTGTAATATTTTTGTAAGAATTTTTCCAATTTTGTTATTTGCCTTTGAATCTGTTGAAAATATTTTTACATTGGGAAAATTTTAAATTGTGATGTGGATGAACCCTCTACCCCTTTCCTTTGTGATTTCTTCCAGTGCTTTTTCACTTAGAAAGATATTTCACATCCAGAGACAAAATAAATATCCACTTATTCTAAACTTTTATGGTTTGAATTTTTATATTTAACCTTTTAAACCACTTTAGAGTTTATTTTGATTAGGGTATGAAGTGAGAATTTCCTGTTTTTTTCCCAAAGACCCAGACAATTGTCCAAACATCATTTGGCACCAGACTGAATGACTGCATCAGACCCCTTGGTTCAAAGCAATATACACATCTTGCAGATATTCATTCATTCATTCCTTCATTCATTCAACTAATATTTATTGAATATGTATTATATTCCAGGCACTGTAGTTTATGCTGAGAATACAACAGAGAGCAAAATGGACTAAATCCCTGCCCTTGGAGCTTACATTCTAGGGAAGGAGACAGACAATAAAAAAATAAACAAGTTAATATTTACCATAATGTCAGGTAGGGATGGGGATATATCAAGAAAATAAAATAAGATAGAGAATGGCTGAAATGTCATATTTTGCTTCAAATTTCATATTTTGCTCTCCCTTTTTAGTATAGATTGTATTCTATTATAATTAACCTCTCCCTGCTTCTCTCCTTCCTCTTCCTCTTCTTCTTTCTTTACTTCTCCTCCTTCGTCTTCCTTGGTTAAACGTTGCTTGGAGTAAACAGACTGGGGTTTAGGAAGCTTTCTTTTAAAGCAAGGATGGGGTTATAATCACAGCATCACAGAGGTCATATAGACCAACGTCACTTGCACTGCTTCATTTGTTCCACTGTGAACAGATGTACTTGGATTTGTGATACAATAAGAGAATGAGGCCACCCCCACTGCAGCTATATTTAGCCAACATTCAGGGAGTGACCTACATAAAATTTTTAATAGACTTTAAATCATACCTGAGTTTAAAGAGATACACTCATTCGAATGCCATACACAGGTCAGACGTGAACAGAGGGGAGGCGGGCAGAGAAGGCACTTGGAGGTCTTGGATAAGCGAGACATCAAATCAGCAATGAGTGAAGGCTCACTCCTGCTTCTAGGCCTTTGTTCAAGCTGGTCCCTCTGCGCGAAATACTCTTCCCCATATCCACTTACCAAATAATCAACTTTCCTTAAATGCCTGGTTCAAACCCTCCAGCCAATATTAATTCATCCCTCCCTCATATCCCATAGAATTTTAGCAATGCCTCTGTTGTAATCCTTCCAACAGCCTACCTTGTATGAGCTATTTATTGTATGTGTTTTCCAGGTTGTGGACACTTCTTAAAAATCAATGAGAATGTCTGTTTCCTCTCCCATTAGGCCAAGCAGTAGACTTTGCACATAGTAACATCTCAATAAATACACATTAAATTGAAATGAGGCTGTTTCCTCTAACCACCCTCCCCATTGCTGGTCTGCATCTAGGAGCAACAAGATTAAAAAATCTTTTCAGCATCCTGTGTTGGCTTGCTCTAATTGGGCCCATAGCAACGATCTCTCGCATGCTATTTCTGGGAACTAGTTGTTATTTTCACTTAAATTCAACAAACCTAAATAACATCTGTTATCCAAACTATCTGTTCTTCTGGATTCTTATATTTCTATTTGGGAGACCACTCTTTTTTCTAGTTACCAGGGCTAAAAACCTTTAAGTTGGCTTTAAGCCAACTTTGAAATCACCATTTCTCCCAACCCCCACCAAGCCTTCTCAATTCTTTCTTCTCTGTATATTCCAAATGACACTGCCTTGACTCTAGAGAGGAGCTTAGGTTTCCCTAGCCCAACTGCTTTTACATTACAAATAATGTCAGGATAAACTCCCATGATTTTTAAGGACAGAAATTTACTTTAAATTTACAGTTGGAAGATATAAGCCAAATAAATACTATTTAGAGAACCAAAGTAGCCTGATGTGTTCCTCATTGCAAACATATTACATAATGTTTTGCAGAACTTTTATCTTACTTATAAATTAAATTATTCCCATTGTTTAAAACAAATTAAAAATTTTTTTCATCCACCATATTTGAACACTTGCAATGTTAACCCCCTTTCAACCCTCAATTCTTCCTGCTAAAATAGGAAACTAAGAAAAACAGATCTTGCTCTCTCCATCTCTCTGGTGGAAATGTTATTGCACAGTGTAATGGCCATAGCAATGGTGGTAATAGTCAAGAAAAGCACAGTTGATGTAGGAGTGGTGGTGCTGTATTTTATAAACTAGACAAGTTGTGCTTGAATAATCAGTTTTCTCGAAAGTACAATGTGAATGGTGCTCTCTGCCCTGCCTATCTCACAGTCTTGTTAAGGGAACAAATGCAATGATATATGTGGAAGCATTTGTGAGTGCTAAAAAAAATTTATACATAAAAGACAGTCATCACTATTACATATAGGATCATTCAAAACAATCTATTTGTCTTTACCTGGTAAATCTGTGTGGAAGGGTTATTCATCGGGATATGTTCATTGTCTCCTGTAGGGAGAAAGAGCTTTGTTCAATTAACACAACTCATTTTGTCTCTATCCTTTTCAGACACACGCAGGGAATAAGGGGATGTATAGGATCCTAAATTTGTGCCTGCACAACAAGAAACCAATGATTCAACAAGAATAAACCATAAACTGGTGTAGGTGATTTTATATTCACATCCTAATGACCAAACCATCTCTGCCTAATATAACTCTTGCAGCAGAAAATCATGTTCTACCATGGTGGGGAAGTTTCTCGACCACACTGAATGATTAACGATCATTTATTAGCCTAAAGGGAATGCCCGTGAAAAGTCTCCCTCACGTTCTTGGGACTGACTGAAGTTTACCTGAGGGAGTAGTTCTATAGTCAGGAAGGCTGCTCACCAGGCACCTGTCAGTCATCACTCTATTGTTCTCAGGAGGCCTGTGGAAAATATCCCTGACTTCTCCTGCCTCTGGTCATTGCCAAACTTCTGAAATCTGCCCTCCTGTCACTGCCCAGATCAGCTAAGGGAATCTTGCTATTCTCCTTGGCAAGATGGTTGATAAAAGGGAATTGTCAATGGAAAGGTTCTAGGAAGGATTCAGGCAGAAAGAAAACAGTATTGTCAACACTAGAGACTTCGAAACATAGGGCAAACACAAAGGAAGTAGTAGGTCGTAAAAACCATTTACAACCTAGGGAGAAAGAAGGTTGATCTAGAATGTACTTTCAGAACTACATTGTTTGGCCGTGAAGATGAGGCAATCCACGTAAAACATGCAGCTTGTTGCTCATCCATTTAGCTACATCTCTGTTGTGTCACATCGTATGAATCAAGGAGTTTGTAGACGAAAGCCCTGGTTGCAAAGATTTGGTCGTGTGGATGTACATATTGTTCTCCTAAGACACGCTGGTATAGGAAACTCTTCCTTGGAGGAACAAGCCTCAGTATGTTAAGTTCAGAAATAACACATAACCTCAGCGCAGAACTTATACACACTGAGGGCTGTCCCTATAAAATCCAGATGGTTTGAGATTACCAAAACTCCCCACATAAACCTGAGTAAAGATTACGTAGCCCGTTTTTTTTTGTTTTGTTTTGTTTTTTAAAGATTTATTTATTTATTTTCACCCCAAAGCCCCAGTAGATAGTTGTATGTCATAGTTGCACAGCTTTCTAGTTGCCGTATGTGGGACGCGGCCTCAGCGTAGCCGGAGAAGCGGTGCGTCGGTGTGCGCCCGGGATCCGAACCCGGGCCGCCAGCATCAGAGAGCACGCACTTAACCGCTAAGCCACAGGGCTGGCCCCGTAGCCCGTTTTATGCTATGTCCCAACAGCTTGGTATCATGGCAAGAACCAGAACTTGGCAACAGAGACCAGGCTCCCAGATCGAACTTGGACACTTCATGGTTGTAGCCTGACTTCCCTATGACTCTCTGTAAATTGGAGATGATAACAGAACTTACTTCCATATGGTTGATTTTATATGGTAAAGATTAAAAGAGAAAGCACTTATGTTTCCAGGCTAGCCTAGAAGGTGTTGGATGTCTATCAGTTGAATCTGCACCTGGGCCTTGTTCAGCAGGTTGTTCTGAGGCAGTCCTAGAGTTATTGCTAAGAAAAATAAGAAAACTACTCAGACCAAATGATATATGTAGCAATTCCTATTTCTCCAGCACCAAGTCTATGCTCTTCACCGTCATTATATGATGATAAGGAAATGAGAATAGTCAAGTCAACATATTGTCATGTTTTGAGACAATGGCAAGACAAGACTAAAACCTACATTTCTTGAATTCTGAGCCCTAAGGCAAGACATAGGAAAAATCTAACCTTGTTTTGTTTTGGTTTTTTCCATGGTGCCTGTTTCTTCTTTCCTCCACCTTATTCTTCAACGTTGCATCTTCATCGTCCCTGGATCAGGCCACCCCCTCTTCCCTGGACCTGTCAATTGAAATCAAGAGTAAGGGATAGCAGGTAGCGCTGGCAAAGTAACTGGACTTCCTTTATGTGTTACGTGAAAAAAATTAAAACGAACACAGATATTAGAGGCAACTTGAGGTTTATGCAATTTCAGAGGAGTGAAAATATTAAGTTGAGTAAATATTTAGCTTAAAAGATAAAGGTAAAAGCATGATTTCACTCATAAGTGGAAGATGAACTAACCCACAGACAGAGAGAACTGTTTGGTGGTTACCAGGGGCAAGAGGGGTCAGGGATGGGCACAAGGGGTGAAGGGATGCATTTATATGGTGACTGACAAACAATAATGGACAACAAAAATTTCACAGTAAAGAAAAAAAGATAAAGGTAAAAATTTTGTGAATAAGTATGAAATTCATTAGTTAAAATTATGGTAGTTTTTATAATTAATTTAGACCCATTGATTTTTATTAGCAGGTTATGGTTTAGGGAAATTATCTTAAGAAGAAAAAACCTGACTAAGTATGAAGGCCAATACGTCTGTTTCTATTCTATTTCACTAAAAATACATTCCTTGATGATGTTGTCCCCACTTTCTGCATCTGGTAGACTCCTTTACACCCAGGAGATACTTATCAAATGTGGCCAGCTTTAGACGTGAAGCTGCAAATTCAGAAGGCAATGTAACAGACAAACAGAAACTGTCAGTGTTGTGGACCTTGGCCCTCTTTTTAGCCGTCTAGAATTTTAATCTTGTCCAATGATTGGGGAATTCCCTTACCTTAGGAGGCTTGATCAGATGCCTCCCACTATAGAGGCTGAAAATGCTAGGTTTTCCTAGTCTTCCTTGCAGCTAAGGCATGATGGACACATGACCAAGTGTATGCCACTCAGATGCACCCACTCCAATAGATACTAGCAGTTGCAGAGGGATTCCTAAGACAGATATACTTGCTATACTTTCTACGAAATAGAAAGAGTTCCTAAGACAGCAGTGGCAGCAAGGGTAGTGGTGGTGCCCATGACGTGGTACAGACAGTTTAGGTAACTCAAGCTGCTGCTTTTGGTGCTTTCCTCAGCAGAACAGCTGTACTATATGATTTGGGGCATTGTTGCTGGCCGCATAATCCCAAACTTGGTTCACCAGTCTCCCAGCGATTCTACGAGCTCCTATATTCTTTGAACAAGTTCCTTTGCCGCTTAAATCAGACAAAGCTGTTTTCTGTTGCTTGCAACTAAGAAACCTGATTGAAACAATCAAAATACTATATTAACACTATCCAAGACTGAGAAAACACGAGTTAAAACTTTGTTCATTGCTCTAAACAAGACATATCTAATCTATAGTGACAAAATGCAGATCAGTAGTTACTTAGGGCAGGAGGTGGGGATTTAACTGGGAAAAGGCACAGGGAATTTTTAGGGTGAGAGAAATGTTCTATTGCCTAGTTGTGGTAGTGGTTATCCAGATGCATATATTTGTTAAAACTCATCAAAATGTATATTTCAATTGGGTGCATTTTATCCTATATAAATTATACCTCAAGAAAGTAGAATTAAAAATTTTCATTCACGGGGCCGGCCTGGTGGCACAAGTGGTTAAGTGCACGCACTCTGCCACGGCAGCCTGGGGGTCGCCGGTTCGGAACCCCGGGCGCACACCAACACACCACTTGTCAAGCCATGCTGTGGCGGCGTCCCATATAAAGTGGAGGAAGATAGGCATGGATGTTAGCCCAGGGCCAGTCTTCCTCAGCAAAAAGAGGAGAATTGGTAGATGTTAGCTCAGGGCCGATCTTCCTCACAAAAAAAAAAAAAATTCATTCACATATTGAGGTCTGTACAGCAAAATAATATGTTGGCAGGGGCGGGAGGATACATACGGATGAAAAAGCATTGGTCAATAGTTACACAGCTATACATGAAGGATATAAAGTTAAGGCCATATGCTATTTGGAATCTTGCACATTTTTCCTGTGAGCCTGAAAGTGATGTCAAGATAGGGCATCTTCCCTAGCTATCTGAATATCTTTCACAGCTGATATAAGCCTTACTAAGATGAAAACTTTCTTCTCCTTAGCAATTGTTAATTTATTTGATATCTAATGCATTCCATAATGAAAATAATTAAATCACAGAATGTTAGAGCCAAAAAGGCCCTGAGAAAATTATTTTATCCACCTTCTTCATTTATAGGTGAAGTAACTTAGGCATGGAGAGGAGAAGTGACCTGCCCAAAGCCACATAGCTTTGAAAATTATTGTTAGGAATGATTTCTGTTACTATTTGGGAAAAAAATCTTGAAACCTATAAAGCCATATTTTTAAGAGATTTTTATGGATAAGTAATTCTTGGGGATTTAGTTATCTAGTCTACAATTAACTGAAAACAAACCAAAAAAATCCTCCATACATCATAGCTAAAATATAAACTTACACATTTTCAGAGCTAGGATTTCATCAAGCTCACATATATACATATAGTCACTGATTTCAAGATGTAATAAAATATGTGTTATTAATAGAAAGTAAATTAGAAATTTTATTTTATTTATTTAACTACAAAAGCAACAAAACTACATTCGAGAAAATTTGGAAACTATAGAGGAAAAAACAACTATAATGCCTCTACTTAAACAACTATCATGATCATTTGGTTGTATTGTCTGCCAATCTTTTTTCTCTCGAATGTTTTACGTGATGGTTAATGGAGCCTACCTATAATTTTGTATCTACTTTTTTACCTACATTATAGCATAAGCATTTTACTTAAAAAAAAAAAAGGGATCATTATTATTCATGTTGTTTTTATTGTGGCCATCTGAGCAGAGGGCACGAGTGTTCCTCCCCAGTCCAACCAACGTTACAATCTGCTGGTATTCTTTCATTCCTTTCTCCATCCTCATACAGTCACATACAAACATACATACACAGTATACATATATGGGGTGGAGCTGTCATTGTAGGTTCATACTATATCTCTCTGCATCTTGTCTCTCTCACTTAATACATCGTGGCAATCTTTCCAAGTTAATTGGTATAGATCCAACAAATTATTTTTAATAACTGCATAATATCTATGGTACTAATGACCTGTGTTAATCATTCCTTTATTGATGGGCATTTCCTTTATTTCCATTATTTTGCCACTGCAAACAATGCCATAACAAACATCTTGGTACATAAAGCCTTACATATTGGTGCTTTTACTTATGTGGGGTTTTAATAGATATGGTAAGGCTGCTTTCCCAAAAGGTTATAATTATTCACACTTACCCCAGGAATATTGCATGAGTACCTTTTGTCCTGCATTCTAGCCAGTACTGGACATTTACACTTTTTAGTTCTTGCCAGTCAGATAGGTGACAAGTCTTATTTCATAGCTACTCCTCCTGATTGCTAGTGCTATTGAGCATCTCTACATATACTTACTGGACATTTAGATGTGAATTAGCTATTCCTCTGCTTTGTATATTCTTCTATTGGGTCATCTGCCTTTTCCTTATCAATTAGTAAGAGCTTTTATTTAATAGATAATAAATCTTTATTTGTCATATGAATTATGAATATTTTTCCCATCTTTCTTTTTGTCTTTTGACTTTGTGGCAACTTTTGCTATTCAAACATTTTAAAATTTGTTTAGTCAAATAGATATTTTCCCTTAATTGTTTCTAGGTTTCTTGAGTTGGTTTAAAATCTCTCTGCAGCCCCAAGTTTATATACATATGTTTTCCTACATTTTCTCCTAGGGTTTTTATTATTTTTAAGTGTTTAATTCATCTGGAATTTGTTTTGATATATGGGGTGAGGGAGTGTTCAATTTCCTTATCTTCCAGTTGGATAGCCACTTGTACCTGTACCAGTTATTACTTAAACCATCCTTTTCCCTCATGAAATTGAAATATCATTTTTGTCATGTATTAAATTCCCATGTACACTGAGATCTATTACGGACTCTCCCTTCCATTCTGATCCATCTGCCTATTTCCATTCCAAAACCACATATTATAGATGTTCTTCAGTGTTTTAAAAATATTTGGTAAGGCAAGTCAACTATTATTTTTTTATATAATTTCCTTTTCCTGACATATTTTTCCATATGAATAAATGAACTCCAAGATCATTTTACCCATTCCAAAAAAAATTGGGATTCTCATTGGCATTGCATTAGATTTATATATTAATTTGCAAGAACTGGCATTTTTCTTATATCGAATCTTGCATTCCAAGAGCAGTATAGTTCTTTCCATGTGTCTGGATCTGGTTTTAGGTCTTTCAATCAGATTTTATAGTTTTCTTCTTAAAGTCCTAAGCTTTTCAGGGCCAGCCCCGTGGCTTAGCGGTTAAGTGCGCGCGCTCCACTGCTGGCGGCCCGGGTTTGGATCCCAGGCGCGCACCAACAACGCACTGCTTCTCTGGCCATGCTGAGGCCGCGTCCCACATACAGCAACTAGAAGGAGGTGCAGCTATGACATACAACTATCTACTGGGGTTTTGGGGGAAAAAATAAATAAAATTATATTAAAAAAAAGTCCTAAGCTTTTCCTGTGAAATTTATTCTTAAATATCTTATACTTTTTATTGCTATTGTGAATGGTATTTTTTTCCATTTTGGTTTTTGTATTTTCTAATTTTTTGTAAATTTATTTTGTATTCAGCCACTTTAACTGAATTCCTTTATTAAATATGGAAGATTTTTTTAAATGAGCATTTCTTGAGTTTTCTGGGTGACTTTTAATCCTTATTTTTAAATATTTATACCAGTTATTTCATTGTCCTATCTTATTGTATTTGCTAGAGCTTCCAGGATAATGTTTACTAATAATGGTGACAGTGGACATCATTATCCATTTTCTGATTTTAATGTAAATGCCTTTAAAGTCGTTTAGAATGACATTTTCTATCTTTGGTAAAAAATCTATATCATACATAAATAATTTCTTATTAGGAATGGATGTTATATTTTGTTAGACCTTTTAACAGCTATTGATAGAATTGCTTTTTTCTCCTTTAATTTATTGT